GGTTCTGGTTCTATAAAAACTTGAATAACCTAAAAAATCGGGGTTTAAAACTTCACTATACTTATAATATATAGGTACCAAAAAAAAAACACGATACTAATTAATTAATATTAAACAATTTTTAAACATCATTTTTATAATATCAGTTTAATACTCATCGCATAGGTAATAAATTATAATTTAGCTATATTTTTCTATAATGAACCATGTATTATAATACGGAATAATAGTTAGGTAAACTATGTATGTAAGTAAAAATAACAATTAATTTTAAACCAATATAATTATTCAGCACAGGTGTAGGTATTGAGAATTTCCTTGCTAGTAATAAAACTTAACTTTACGAAATCGTGAAAACTATAGAGAAAAAATATTACAACTGGCCTAATTTAATCAATTTTCACGATTGCACTTTTTAATCGGTCTGTTTAAATTTAAAATTATTATTGTTGAAACAAAATTATGTAACACTATATAAATATAATACAATATATTGAAACAAAATGTATATTGATAATTGTGTCACTATTTGAAAAAATGTTACATTAGGTACCTACTCATCGAATCAAATAGATGCCAGCCTATTAGGTCCCAGCCTATTAGGTCCTAAAGATAATTATTAGTTAAATTTTTTTATCATAAATTTATTATATTCAAAAGTAAAAAAGTCAATCTTTTTATACAAAAAATACTAAAATAGACATATCCACAAAATAATAATTTACAATTTACGATTTTGACAATTGTTTTCAAAATTTGAATTTTAAACCCTCATGAAAAATTAATGTGTCTTTATGCTTAACTTCTTTTCTTAATTCTTGCAGAGAAACTTTCGGAAAAACCATAAGTAGATATTATTTTAAACTCTCGATGTATAAGCCATGAAATAAGAACAATTTTGGCGTGGTTAAAAGAGTTTTTAAACGTATACTTCGGCACATTTCCAATTGAAAATTTTAAAATTTAAATTGATTTATATAGTATAAAACAACATACTTTATATCCCTAAACCAAAAAAAAATTTTATTTTCTCGTTTTTGACTACATAACTCTTTTTCACATTTCCACACTTCATCCGATTATGTTTAAAAGTAAAACGAGTGGTACACAAATTGACACCGGAGAAGCTTTGATCTTAGCTTTTTAAGAAACAAAAATTATAAAAAAAATTTGGTATTACGAAATGAGGAAAATATATTCAATATTAAAAAATAAATCTTTTTGCTGGTAGGACCAAATGTCAGCGTTATTCTTAGTAATCTAAATGCTGATGGTATAGTAATTATTAGCAGTAAAAATGTTTCAAAATTCATATTTTGGGGTGAAGGGTCTGGAGAAATGCACAAAATGTATATGTGATGATTGTATAAATTATTTTTTTATAGTACCTTGTACCTATACAGTATGCACTATATAGACTCATATTTTTTGATTGGGGTAGCCGATTTATACCACAATAATCCCACTAATATGTATGTGTAGAAGAAAGGCGCTTCAAATTTTTCTCTGTCCACAAAATGGCATAATACAGCTCTATTTGATACAATACATTGAAATTTAATAATCAAATTATTGCCGAGGTACACAAACAATAAATGAATGAATAAATTATTATTTTAACCTCACATGAAATTCCTCAAACTAGGAATTCTTGATAAACTATATGGTATTAAAAAATATGGACACAAAAAAAAATACACTTGCAAATAACAATAATGATATTACTCATCAATCGATAATATTATCCTAACTCACGTGTATTATTAATTGTTTTTATTTTTTAATAAACCTGTATCATTTCCTACCATATTTATTCTTTAATTGTTGTGGTTTTAATCTAGGAAATATGCACGCGAATGTCATCGACGTCTTATATTTATTTTTAATTCGAATGCAAAAGTATTTGTATGTATTACCTGTTAGATATAATCATTAACCTAACGAAAATACCATACATTAATAACCAGATTTTAATAGAGTTTTGTTTAGGTATAGTCTTCATCTACAACTGATCCGCCTAATATTACGTCACAAGCTCAATAAACATCTCGAGGCCATTTTTTAGATAAATAACATCTCACAAAAATTAACGTTAGTTGATATAAATTAGTATTCGAACATATTTTTATTTGTTAGCTTAATACTTAGAAATAAGATGATGTCTACATAATATATTAATATTATCATAACACATATATGCATAGATTACCATTGGAAGCTAATAATATTATACTATGGAGTGTAAGTACAAAGTATAAATGATGTAAAAGTTGAGGGTGAAATAATATCTCATTGTTATATATAACGAAATTTAAAAAATTTAATTAGTTTGGAAATAAATGTATACATTTGTTGAACAAAAACACAATAATAACGAAATGTTTCATTTTCTTGTCATAACTATTCAATTAAAATATTAAATTAATTCACAGTAAGTTTTATGTATGAATAGGTAAGTTGCTTATTTTATTAGGTATTAACTGTCTAATATAATATATTGTACCTGTTATATTGCTGTGGTTGCATACACAGAACCAATAAGAAGGGGGCTTAACCCACTCAACATTTTCAGTAGTTTCCCAAAACATTTCCAAAATTTGTTTAAGCTTGTCAACTATTATAGTAAGGCCAACCCTCCCCCCCCAAATCTCAAACAATATTCTCGCCTATGGTTGCATATGAATAAGATACAACTTGTCATTGCTTTGTTATAGTTGAAGTCTACTCTGTAGTAGGTAACTATAATAATGAATAGTTTGTTAGCGTAGACATAAGTAGATTTTTGTAAATCCGTCTTCTGTCAAAAAATTAATCAAATGTTAAATAAAAAACAACATATCAATCACAATTATGTTAAAACGTATTTTATTAAAACTATACGTCATATGACTATGTACAAATTACAACGTTGTAGACATTCATATAGGTAACTTATTTTTAGATTAAACTGAAAGCAGGAATTAATATTAGTTTACAAAACATCGCACCAAAGTGGTGTCTTAAATAATAATTTCACATATTATAAATATATATTCAACATCCATTAAAATTTAAATATAGTATTATCATATATAATTCATCTAAATGCAACAGCATAATTAATATAATAATAATAATTATTTATATTTTTAATTGGCTTTTTCGTTATACCCAACAGCGATGAGAGGTCACATTATATTCTTTATGACATGTGATGTTATAAACTTATAAAATATTAAATTTACTCGTATAATATCCAATATAATTATTTCTGACAATCATTACTGTTGAGCGACATTAAATAATTTGTGCATCTTATTAATTATCATAACCAACCTAAATTATATTCCCAACGCATTTCTTAAGAAATTGTCTACACAGGGATTAGGGTATTCCTTAAGGAGTGCTTCACACAGGTACCTTAATCTAATTCAAAACTTTTTTCTAAATTGTTAAACATAAGTTAAACATACATCTTAACATTGAGTAAAAATAAAAATCAACCATAAAATCGACTTAAAATATAATAAATACGCCGATAAAAGATTAGGTAACAAATTAATGGTAAGTGCAACCCTCTCAATGTTTGTCAGTGACAAAGTTGTGAGTGTGCGTAGATATACACTATTGCCTCTTAGATCCTGATATTTTACTGTATACTCAAACATTTTGAGCTTCTTGCCTCCTATATCTTTGTCAGCAGAACATAATGAATGGTACATTATGTACCTACGTTGTTTGTAAATTTTGAATTTCAGGTGATATTTTCTTCCAAACAATCTGTTGACTATTCAGTATATTTGGGTATAAAAAATATACTCTTGAGTTCATATTCGAGACTGATATCAACATTAATAATACTATGTCTACAACATAAAATAATTGATTTAATTTGTTTTGTTAATCTATTGCAGATTGAGTTTTGAGGGTGTAGATGTTTTCATAACCAATAATTTAAAATTATTATTAGGTAACATTCATTAATAATTATACAGTGTAAATGTGTAATAACCATTGTTCTTAGGAAATTTAACTAAAAATGTGTTTAACGTAACCTAAAACAATTAATTTTCAAACCCTCAATTTTTTCCTCAATTTTGCCACTTAAATATTTGATTAGATAATAATTTAGAGTTGATTTTTACCATACACTTTATTTTTGATCATTTAATAATACCAGAAGTTCAATGGCTCAATCTTTACGATAAAATAAAGTGAATTAACTTTTATTAGATTTTATTATATTTTTCAAATATATTCCTTCAACATATTAATATTTAGGCTAGATAACTAATTTGGTAATTGAATTTATGAAGACATTTAAGTGTTTTACCCGAAGTGCGAATATGCAATATCAGTATTATTTGAAAATCAGTCAAATATTTGCTTTAAGAGATCAAGGAAATTCTTGAAATACTATCATCTACATAAAGTTAGAATAAAAATACATAAATTAAATATTTTCAACATTTCTGCTTACGTTCTTAATATTTATTGTTGGATGAAAATGTATATAGTTGTTATACTAAATATACTATAATAGGATGGTATATATTACTTTATACTATAATTTAAAAATAAAAACACATTCAAATATTACAAACAATTATTATTGTTATTTTTTATTCAAAAGGTCCATATTATATTATATTGTAATACAATATATTTTATCGGTACCTATTTAAATTATTCTTTTTATATTCTACACATAGAACATAAAAATAACATTAAAGAATGTGTTTATAATACGTATTGTGTTAAGTTTTTAAAGATATGCAGGTTATTAAAATAGAGCAATTTGGAATATTAAAATTCACACATCTAACACAAAATAAACTAATTATATTTTCGTAACGAATCAAAACCAATTGGCTTAAAATTGAATTACATATTTTATAAACTCAATACAACTTCATTGGGAGTTAAAGAAGGACACGAAACCATAGGATTGTTACACAACAATAATTATTGTTATAATATGTATAGATAGGTATCTCAATAGTTGTTAGGGTTTTTTTTTCTACTTTTTGGTTGAAGTGTCTGGGTTTCACGCGCACAGAACGTGATGGTAGTATTATCATACCGCCTTAATGGGTATTACGGTAATAATCTACGATAAAGTATAGCGCGAGTTTTCAAAAGTCTATTAGTGGGCGGAAGTGGTGTGTGTTTATTGCGTGCCATTCCAAAGTCCGATTTGTTTATGAATTGTTAGGAATAAATAGCAATGGAATGTCCAATTCTGCAAATCGTATTTATAATCGTACAGGTGGTCTTGAAAAAAGTTTGTTATCAGCTGATCTGGTATTTAAGAATGAACGCAATTTTATTCGCGCATAACATTGTGCTATATATTTTATCATACGTATTTATACAGTGTGATTTATTTTAAACAACCACTCGTCATGTCAGAACATACCAACTAGTTAAATATGGCTGTTTTAATCGGTTCGTTTTAGTTTGGTTTAACGGTTCTCTAAATTATCTCTCCGAATCGAGTTTGCCGTTTTTTGGTGTTAGCCGGTACCTGCAGGCTGTAAATAAATGAAAATTGAATTGATTTTTTTATATAAAATTACGAGTGGCGCGTTAAATAAATAAAAAAAAAACCACCCTGTATATTATTCATACGAACACATTATTACGTATTCAAGACGAATATTTTTATACATACGCCCCGTTAAAAAGAAAACAACAAATACGGTTGGATAATATAAAGTAGGTAATAATAATAATACATAATGATCAGCGCGGGCCCGTGAGTTGTCCGTTTGCCTTGTAAAGGTCCGCTGCGGCTAATAATTGATAGCAGATTTATTCACTGGCGTAATTAGGAATTTGTCCTGGAGGGAGATGGACATTTTTTTACACACAAAATACTAAATTTTCAAGTAAGTACAGTGATAAGTGGTAGCCAATTTACGTAGGTATATAGATATACATTACAAAGGCTCCTGAAAGGATCTATCCCCTCACCCCACCCACCCTTAATTACGCCCCTGGATATATAATAATATTTTTTTGCTATGTATTCGTTTAATTCGGTGAGACGTTACCACCACCATGCTGCAGACGGCGCTCAAACAATAATAGATAATAATTATTTGCGGTGCGATGCTGCAGACGACGACGATTGACAGCAGCAGCGTCGGCGGTGGTGGCTGCTGTTGCAGTCGCAGAGACGTGTTGGGCGTAAATACTCTTCGGACCTGCGGCACACCTATGGCACAAGATGGCCGCTCATTCAGATCGCGAGTACGACTGTACGACCGTACCTGGTTGACGACTTGCGCGGTGGCGGGTTACTTGCCGGACGAGGCTCCGATCTGTCGTCATGATGAACGGTTGGCCGTCCGTCGCCGCTTGCCAGTCAGCTGCAATCGCCACTCCAACCAGCCGTACAGCACCACGGCCACCACCAGAGCGGCCGACAAGCAGTACAGTTTGGTGGTGTTGCACACGACGCTGTGCAATCCGAACGCCAGCGCCATGCCGGCGTACCGGAAGAAGTAACCGTGCGCCATCGGCCCGTGCCAGTAGTCCGGATACAGAGATATCACGAAGTCTGAAACGACATTAATAACATAAATCTATAAATATAATGACTCAATACGATTTAGGCACCGGTCGAGGTTTGATCTCACTTTGGCCAAGTCGAGCTTTTTTTTTAATTTGAATGGAACTGTCAGTGAATTAACAATGTAATGTGTGACAAGTCACGTAGGTTATTAGAAATTTAAACAAAATATATATTTTTTTTTTTTATCAAGTAGTACTTACAAGTTACAATACATGGGAAGACCAAATAATTATTAGATGAGAGACCGCCGTCAATCACTTTGGTACCACCATGGTAATATTATAATAATTAATAACCATAGAATTATGCATAGACAACAATTTAATATAATTTCCAGGGAATTGAGATGTTACATAAATTTAAACCTCAATCAAACCCGATCCTAGGGAAATCTAACATCACATGTGACATGTCCACTTCAATACATAGGTATATAATATAATAACATGTCATCTTCTGACATTTAATTTTGCCCATCTAAAATCTATATAGACATCGTCAGTAATCAAGGAATAAAGTTACAATTTCAGGTATTAAACACCAAAAATATTTTTGGTATAAATATTAAAATAATTTGATTACTTATATACAGAGTACTTCACCAAGCAAGCTAACCATCTATTATGTTCTTAGTATGCACATTTTAATAACTCAAAAATTCGTCATTTGAATTTTGATTTAGATACGTAAAATTAATTCAACTTCATACAAACCGCCAGCTTCATAATTTGCAGTAACATGTTTGTTTTGCCACAGAACGCTCCTTAAATGGTATAAAAATCAAAACAATTGAAAATTTGATTCTTAGGTAGGTTTACTTAAAATCCCAAAAATCAAAATTTGATTAAATCATTAAAAAATTGCCATATATATCAGTAAACTAATTTTAACTCCATGAAAAAAGCTCGGAAAAAAATGATCTATACATTTTATTGCACAGTAGATCAACAAAAACCGGACATTTGTATATACTTAGACTCTTAGTCTTAGTGCAATAATATAATATCTATAAATTATAATCATTAACCAATGTACCTATACATTATACCTATAAATAAATTCGTCTTAAACGTTTGACCCAAATGTTTAATCTGTTAATACAATAAACAAGATATAAAAAAAAAATAGAAACCACAAGGAAGTAAACAATTTTTATCGCGTGTTGTAATACAAAATATTTTCGATATAGTAATTTTTATAGTAAGTACAATAACAATTGTTTATGAACTTTGAATTCTCACAATATAACTTTTTTCATTGGTATCTAAATTTCACTTTAACTTAACAAAGCAAATATATTTTTAATTAAATAATGTGAACTTCTCATAGCTTTAATAAATTGCACACAAATGGTAGAAAAACATTTTTTTTTAAATATTTACGCATGATTATTATAATGTACGTTTATTTTATATACACGCTACGTAGTATATAATGTAAATACGTAATATAATGACTCCATATATAATCCTGTATCCAGCAACAACAAAAACCCACCAAGTCCCCTCCCTTCAGCCCTACGCTCGAAACATGACGGCCATGGTCAAAGCCAATAAGTTCCGGCGCTGCCATCGATACAGTCATAAGTCGTGAACAGAAACGTTTTTTGTCTGCATTGTTGTCGCACCGGCACAACATTATAAAATAGACTCTCATTTCGTATTGTAATATTATTTGCATAAACCAGTGCCATAAATTGTTTATTTTATTTAAATACATACAAGCAAATAAACAATTTAGGCAACAATTATTTTTTCTCTCATCAGATCTTGTCGACTGAGTCCCTAGGTATACTTTTCATCAAACATTGTTTTCATTTTTAGTCAACAAATATCTATATTACTACTTAACAGATTTTGTATTCATTTTTCTTAACTAGTTATTGACAAAAGAAGTTTAATAATTTGTAACGCCTTACTAGAGGCCTAAAATATATTAGGTGCCTACAAGAGAGGTCATTGTTATTATATAATCAAGTATTCAGATAAGCATCTGTTTAATATCAGTTTATGACTTATGTATTGAATTATGAGATAATAATATGTTAATTATATAGATATTATTATGCAATTAAATAAGTATGAATTCGATATTTGTAAAACAAAATGTATGAAAGAATTTATTTGTCCTTGAAAGAGTGTATGCTGTGCGTGATATTATTTTTACATAAACTCCCGGTATCATATTATGATTTGTTAATAAAACTTTAAAAGTTATGGTATTATAAACAGAACAATCTCTTAGCACTTTTTAGTATTTATTATACATCAATTTTTATTGATTCACTAAAAAATATTATTTGTGTGAGCTTTAAATTTGTATTAAACCTACACAATATAATATTAATAGAACGAAACAACAATAATGATTCAGTAAGTGTTTCTAGGGTCTCATGTCAGCTTAAATCAATACGATACTGGTTGACATTATTAATAATAATTTCAATTCAATTTTCTAAGATCATGTCATTATGGATTACTTTAAGTAATTACATAATTTAATTAAACTGTCGTCTGCCAATACTATCTACCTATAAGGTCCAAAGAAAAATATTATACTATTGGGATAGGTATTATAATAATATACATATTAATTTGATTATGTTATTAATTATTAAACAGTTTTGTATGTTATAATAATATATTATTTGGGTTACTGTTTTTAAATTTAAAGATTCAGTAAAAATACAATAATAAGATGTGTTTTTTTTTTTAGTACAAAAATGTACATACACAAAAATTCTATTCAGCTCCTAACAAATTCCAGTCGTTTTTTGATTGGTATACTTAGCAGTAGGTACTATGAGTTCTAATAAGTAACAGTCAAGAAGATAATAGTGTAGGATTTTATGCTTGTAAGTGTCAAATTTGTGAATAATAAAATTAATATACTGCAACAGTGCAGTATGAGGGATCTAAAAAGGTTCCTCATAATGGTTCGTAAACAAATTATCATATCAAATACAGTTTTGAAAATACACATTAAATCTAGAAATAAGTAAGCATAAACGTATGTTGATATTTTTACTGGGTGTTTAATATTAATTATAATGAATATTCAATTAACCTAAAGAAAGTGAAAATCACTGAGTGAGATTATTCTATGATGCGTACTTATCTGAACCCATCGATATCATTACCCCTTCGCAAATATATCATTAGAACTCAATCAGGTATCTATACTTATTTCTAGTCTCTGGGTAATTAATTAAACAATATTATAGTATGCAATAATTTGAGTTTTGTTGTACTAAATTTTGAAATATAGAGTAATAGTGAAGTATACAGGTACTAATGTACCTACTATTACTATAATAATATGTAGTAATAGTGCTTATTTGTAAAAATCTTTGACGACATTATCATTATGATAACAAGTATTGATGACAATAACAAAATGATGAATTTAATTATAAAATTTTGAGATGTTTGGTAAGATAATAAATAATAATATACTCGCCATAAAGTTATTAATACTTACTGAAACACAGTGTGTTCCAAATGGCATTGCACACACCCCAGGCGGCTGCTATGACGTACAGTAGCGCAGCATCGTCGCCGGACGGTTTCCACTTCATCAGCACCATTAGCAAACACGAATGAAACGCCAACCCAATCACTGGAAAACCACAGTGGTAATAATAATCGTTACGAAATAATATCAACGAGAGCCAACTCGGGTCGGCCACTTTGGTATTTTTTAATAATAATTTATAGTATATTGCTATACTATATTATTATATGTATATATTGTAACCGTTATGTATATATACCTATTATATGGTACCGGCGGATGTGTTGCAGGATCAGACTCACAGTAAAACCGGCTACCAGTTGAAGCAGTCCCAAGCTCAGCAAAACTGTGGGCACCTTAGACACACCCACTGAACACACGACGTAAAACTGAAATTGCAAAAATAGACTATTAATATTGTTATTTCGTATATCATGTATGTTTATCGTACAGAATAAACAAAAAAATTCAGTTTATATATTACTAGCTGTCCCGCCTGGCGTTGCCAGTGCCAAAGATTTGTTGCTAGTTAAAAATGATAACTCTATATGATTTAAACTTTGTTCAATTCGTTATGTAATATTCGGTGTAATAGTGTTAAAAATTTAAAAACTTTCATCGACCGTCTTGAATGCTTTCTTAGTGTATATTTAAATCTTGATATCATGACAATTTCAAGTCTCAACCTATAATTATTTAGGCTCTATAGTCTATGTTGATCAGTTAGTGAGTCAGATATTATAGGCTATAGCCATTCCACCCAGCATTTCCGATGAGACATGTTTGATATAATGTGAGCAGTATATTGACAGATCGGCAATCCATCTGTGGTGGATTGCAGACAATGTGAGGGCATACGTAATTACGAATGTTATTAACCCGTTGAGTGCTACGGTGCTTATGATGTGCAATGTGCATGCAGGTTCCCGGGCAACGTTAAAAAAATTCACTATTATTTAGTTTATTTTTTTACTGGACAGATGGCGCTACTATTGTATTTTTGCAATCCAGATTTCCTATTTTTCTTGTGGACTTACCTAAAATGTTCTTTCTTATAAACCCTGTCCTAACGACTATAAACACAACAAAATAAAAATTGGCCAAATCGATCAAGCTGTTTCTGCGATTAGCTGTTAGAAAAATCTACTTTCAAGTTAATATAGTTAGATAAGAATATATACTATATATAGCCTTATCGTGTATAAAACTGCCCAAATCACTACAAGCTTGTATTTTTATGTTTCGGATGATCCAGATTGAACCAGCATGGCAAATATAAATACTACTGGGGCAATCAAATTGTGCAGCCGCACTCGAGTGTACCATTTAAACTCATTCACTCCAGAATGCATTTTTTTCCAAACTAAAGAATGTAAATAACTATTTTGACAGGAAACTTTTTAAGTAAATACATTAAAGTTCTATATTAACTATTTAACGATAAACATTACAAATGGTGGACATTAAGGTGAAATAATTAAACTGGTCTTTTGTATAAATATTATTTCAGTAGGTGTGTACTGTGTATACTGCATATTGTATATTATAGTACCTATAATACGTATAGGTACCATTTAAAAGTTGAGAAACTCTATTTCAATAAATATCCAAGGAAATTGTGTTAACTTTTCATCTTTTAAATTGTATTTTACAACTTTTATAATGCGATGTGTGTTTCAAATAATAAATTACTTTACAGTGTGTTAAATGATGATGTAACGAAAAACTATAGTTTAAAACAAATAACAATTAATATCTTAATGATTGTTTCACAATAATAATAGTATAACGTGTTAATTAATATATTGTTATCACTGTATAATTTTTATTTTCATAATTACTTGTTACACTCGCGTGTTTCAACACCTTCCTCTATGTGGTATTTAACTGATTTTAATTTATTTTTCTTTCTCAACCAATGCAATAATATAAAATAATAATAATTGTTTAAGTTCCAGTTTTTAATTGTACGTTAACAATATTATTAACTATTGTATTGATAAAATAAATCATATTTTTTTGTATATCTACTCTTAAGTTTCAAGTCTCGACGACTTATATTTATTTAATTACAAATTTACAACAGAATAACCAAGTAAATTTATTTTTTCGTTTCAATATCCGATTTTGTCAAAATGAAAACATCGAACGATTAAAAACAGTGACTACATTTTCGTTATTTTTCAATTCCTTTACGAAAAACTTATAAAGGACCTTGTAATAAATTATCTAACATTTTTTCCTAGAAATCTTCAATATAAAAATAAAAAAGTCACCGTCCATAGTGCGTCAGCAACGAATTATTATAAGTCTTCGACGTTTTGAACGCACTTATTTCCGAACTCTGTCCATCCCCAATCCACCCCCATGATGACGTACACGAAACGTGGCTCCTTTCTTGATTAGGTAATATATATTTTAAATAGACTACCACCACTGCGATGTCGGTAACTTACCCCGACGAGTAGAATCACTGTGTGTCGCATATACCTATTTATACGAGGTTAACTGCTATAGTATTGTTATAATAATATTGTTTAATTAATTCTGCCCGTATCGTGTAATGGTCTACTAATACTCGAGGATTGCGGGCTACAGCCATTCTATTACCTTAACTATAGCGGAAAGTTTTGGTTCGTTGATATAATGAAACGAACTGATGATTGTTACAGTTTTCGGTCTCAAAATTATGAAGCTTTAAGGCTTTGGTTTCGATTAATATAAAATAACTAATATGCTACGGCCATTTTCATCTCCATAGATGTTTCCGATTTAACATTTTTAATTTGAAAATAAATCTTCTAATGCTATAAATTTATTTTTGTACACGTTTAATGTTTATTTTTGCATTATACAAATGAAAACATAAATCTGTGTTTTGTTATAATTTTTTTTGTTCAAATCATTGAAACAATAATTTACAATTTAATGCTTATCGAGAAATGACTGATGTATAATTTTTTTGTTTTGAGTATAGTACTCATAAAATAAATGCTGATTACTAAAAAACAATTTATAACTGTATTATTATTAAGGTACAACAAAAAAGATTTTTGTAGTTTTTAAAAAGGTTTCGATTTCAATCGAAGGATTCGTTCCTTAGTGATAGGATATGTGTTACATATAAGCATATAGCATAAAGCCGTCAACCATACTTGACAAAAACCCAAAAATTCGCAATCATATTAAAACAATTAAATTGAGTTAAGTCAACATTAAAAATCCTAACTACTAAGCTATAAGTTAATAACAGTTTGTTTAACTACAATTATATACTTATAATCTGTACATGGTATTCATTTAACGTATTATTTTTTAAACTAACTGAAAAATTCTGACACCTTGGGGTGTTTAACCACGGGTAAGTTATTGAATCGATTAGACAATTCACGAACTACCTATTAAGTTAAATTCAAAAGTAACATCTTATAAAAGTACCAACTACATCAAATTTATTACCAAAAACCTCAACTGAAGTTGATGAACAAATCATGTTTTCTATGAGGAACACTAAATAATATCTTCACAAAAAAATAATAATAATAAAACACACATCATTGTACAATCAATAGGTACATTTCAATCAATCTCTGCACTAAAATTCAAAAGTTTAAAATCGCAAATGACTATAATTAACTGAAAAAGAACTAACATATTTTGAAAGTGTCATAATGCTTCAAAAACTAGGTTCTAGGTTACTTCCGTAATCCCGTCTCCCTGCTATTTTTTACCTTTTTCCAAAAAATTAAGGTGTTTTAGTCACTCGTTGTTATGATCAAATTGCATTTACTTTTATAAACCATCATCCAAATTGCAAACTAAAGCAAATTGTTTGATCGAAAACATGGTTAGTAGTGACAGACATAAAATATAAAAATAAGAAAAGTGGAGAAGGAGCTAATACTTTATATAGTTTCCGTAATTCCGTCAGTCTCTTAAATATGCACTGATAATAAAGTTTACATTTTGTTTGAGTGGGCAGACTATAATTATGGCTAATGGAAATTATAGAAGAATGATCAGCTGGCTTCTTTACATTTCAGAGTATTATACTTGTCAGCTAATTCAAAATATTAAACAACTTACCATTTTTTTCTAAATTTCATATAGTTTTTAAGAAAAAACATAATTTTACTCTCCTTTGTGAAGCACCAGTGAAATATATTGTGTACACTCTATAATTTAATGAGTGTGACAATAGCCAATAACATTATTATTATTATTATTATTATTATTATTATTATTATTATTATTATTATTATTATTATTATTATTATTGTCTATGTCCACAGCACCATAAGTGTAACTAATAAATATAAAGGAGTCCTTCTTACCTTGGAGAAATCGGAATAGATAAATCCTTGTTCGAGTCCGATGAACAACGACAGTGGAGCTATGAGCTGAAGTTTGGTGTTGCGGAATGCATCGCGGACGGCAGCAAACGACCTGGCGCTGTCCGATTTTCGTTTCTCAGACGCGGAAGCGTACACGAATAATCGAATGCGGGTCATGAAAGTCGCGGTGACAGCCACGCCGACGAAACAGCATCCGGCGAAGACGCTGGCTAATAGCTGCGTGGTTTTGCCTGTTAACGTGTATATTGTATAACATACAGCTGATAGTAATTAATATTATAATAAGGCGTGCGGGGAGATCTCTATCGTTTTTCAAAATATTTATTTGACGATTTTATTTTTTTATGTTTATTCTACCTTTATTTTTAGTCTCGGTGAAGCGATAAATGTATTGCTTTTAATGTTTTATTATGAAGTGTGTGATATTTCTTTTTGTCTGAAGATCATTTATAGTGAAGTACTCCAATCTTCAACTTTGATGGAGGACTGCTCAGACCACTCAAAATCGTTTTTCATCCTTTACATCGGTTTATTATTTAACAATGTATCATTAAATTCGAATTTAACTCATCCATCATAATAATCCTAGAACCATAACAGAGAATTGGCTCTCTAGGTGCATTGTGAATAATACTTTTGGGGCCAATATAAGCAGTAAGAAAGGGAGATTCTAGTCACTAATTTATTAAAGTGATATTGATCACTAGGTATATAAACACTGTTACGATATCAAATATCAAATATTTCGACCACTCAAACTCTAACACGATATACAAAGTAGATTAGAATAATAATAATATACTATCACATACCTATTACGATAATATAATACTTAATGATATTATTAACGTTAGTACAATTAAAATCCCAATTTCATGGTAGGTATTTCCGTCCTTTCACGACTGTATAGTAGGTAAGTATCAAAGTGAGGCAGTTTCTCAAAATGTCACACAATAATACTAATTTAATTATTTTTCAAAGTAAATTAATTTAATAATTATTTACAAAATTATGTAACACACCGAATGATTTGCACGGTTCTTCAGCTGCAGTGCTACTAAAACTAGGTAATACATATAGGTATAAATATGTAAAAAGCCTTGGTAATAAAAAAGTGGTCGACCACGTTTTCTATTAATTAGTTGTTGCCACTGATTAAGGACAACATTTATCATCCCAACAATTTTACTATTTGTTCATATTATCTACTTCATAGTTCATTGAGACATTTATTGTAGACTGTAATACACCAAATTCATCATGCGAAATCGAGTAAAATATAGCAATCTTTTCAAAGTAAGTAGTTTTTATTAATCTTTAAGCCTATATATTATTAATGTGACATGTCATTATTAAAAACTATGGTTGAATAGTGTTAGAATAAGTTATGTTGTTCGGTAATAATACTTTACCAGAGTAAAGTAATTAATTTATCAATAAAGTGATTTAAACAAAATACCTTTCCATTTAATTGGTTTATTAAATGTATTATTTATTAATTAGTTCCAAATTTAAACACACACCACTAACGGTCTATGGTCCATAATTAATTTATAAAGTTGCAGGATCTGCTATAATAAATAGCTTATATAAATTATGTTTTTAGTTTTTAATTTTTAAAATTATAACTTTATTTTTTATTAATAGATTCATTTATCAACATAATATATATATTTTTTTCAATTAAAATACAACGCTTTGTGATAATTTAGTTTTAAAAGATTAGATATATTAGACATTGTTGTCATGAAAGCATAGGGGTTAATTTGATCTACATTGCACACAAGTCCACTGTTTTGATTTGTGAGGCATTTTCTACTTCAACCTGCATGATCTATCAAGGAAAATTAAAAAATGTTATAAATATTTTCCAATACAATTAAAATATTGTAAGAACTCAATTTCAAACACATAAAAGGTGGTAAAAGTTTCAACGAAATCAATTGACCACTCTTTTTATATTAATTATTTATTATTATTTATTAGTTAATATTAATATTTATTTATTAATAACTAATAGTGAATATACAGATAATTTAATGTTCGAGTTTCTTATTCATTATTAGTTTTCTATATTTTTTTCTGAATTAATCTCTACATTTTTTTAAATTAAAAATACATTACAATTTTCCAAACATAACTTTGCATTACATATTAAAATATTGATGAAAAGTTGAAGTACTTATAACTGGTTACCAACTTCAGTTGGTAACCCACGCCCCACTAGCAAAAAATATGCACTCATCACAACTTCTGATTATTGTTTGTCAAAATAAAAACCCATATTAAATTATAAATTATAAAAAAACATCAGTGAGAAAAACTTGGTACTACAAAACGAAAAACTTGAAGAAGAGACCATTCAGTAACAGAAGTTCAAATTACAGGGGGATACGGCTTGACAGTACTTTAGACTTGTAGAGGATGCGATGGGTATCGCGAGCACTCACCTCGACATAGAATACTGTTGTACTGCCGTAATCAGTTTTAAAGGAATAATAAATGTGTATAATAATGTATATTTTTAATCTGACTTTGCGACGTTTCAAACAAAATGGTTTATTGACAAAAATATCACAAGAGAAAACATAAAATTGTTAAGATTGTCGAGAAATAAACAAATCGTAGAAACCATATAGGTACTTACAGAAAGACAGTAGATACATATTTAAGTAAGTAGGGAAAAGTCACAAAAATAAAATGAAAATAATGCAGTTGACTTGAAAATACAGTTGTAAGATATATATGAAAAATGTATGAACCGGAAGATCGATTATAGTGTGTCATATATAGATCATGATCACCTTCTGTGTACAGTATGAAATGTTGAGAGTGATGTACGACACTAAAAAGTGTGTGCTAACCGAATTATTAAATTTGATGTTAAACACATATTTTGATTTTGATTTAAATTATAGATGTAAAGCCCCATGGCATATTGTATGTAGGTATTATATTTATATAAAGTGTGCAGTTTGAAAATGTGGATATTAATTTAGCCTTTGATATCCACTTTAAAACTATTTATTAGTATTACAACATAGCTATATGACAATATTTAATAAAGTTAATATGATATGATTTGAAAATAAAATTATAAATCATGCGCCACACATACGAGGAAACTCATACATTATTTATGAATATATCGATAAGCCTAACAATGTGGTTTTCAATTGCATAAATATATATTGACAGTCATAAAAACTATTTGTACCCAAAAGTATTAAAATATTATAATATAATATTCAAACCTTGGAATGTATTATAATATAATATACAATAAGTAAACAAATAATATCGTTTCAGGCCACTCCATCTATAGTTCAATCTGAATATAAAATTATAATCCGACACTTGGGTAATCCGTTGGCCATAAAAATGATAATATCATCAGGGTAATACGAATGTCCAAAACATCGTAGATAATATGCAAGAACTTAAAATGTTGCGTAACACAATTAGTGACAATCGCATAAGAAATATTCACGTTATCACCATCATTTTTGTCACACTAAATCTAAAACATCCTGTTTAGCCAGTTCAACACACACGATAACGCGATGAAAAATGAATGTAACAGTCACTGCAGCAGCTAGTATGCACATTTTTATGATCTCCAAAGCCAAACACTCCTAGGAATATTTAGACCTCGGCTATTGTAAATAATATGTATTATTATCTGCTGTAGACGTATTAACTGTCAATAAAGTAGTAAAACCGTCAGCTGTTGTTCGAGGTGATGGAATTGAAAGTACCCGCATTCACAAACAAGAAGGGTCATTCTGTTTTAATTCTAACTTCAAATCAATTTCAGCACGAAATTTGTCAAGCTATAATCTTATTATTGTAGGTAGACAAAAGGTAAATAATTTTTAATATTAGACTTCAGTTCAATAAATCGGTTTTGATCGTCGTACCAAATACGTTATTTAAAGTAAAATCATGAGGTATCAAGCATCTTGAATAATATGTTTAATTAAATTGCTTATAGTGGTCTAATGAAGGCTAGGGAAGTCGGTGGATAAAATCATAAAATTGATGAGTGAGAAGTTTCTGCTCCTTGCTAGTTGCTACCCCGCGGTTCGTCGTATTATCATAATTATGGTATTGCTGTTTTACTTTAAATTCACTATTTTTCGGATCCGATTTCTCTCTTATCCGTGAAAAATAAAATTATACTTACATGGCAAGACCATGTGATTACGAACGTCGACCAATGTGACCGTCTGGTTGGACGAGAAGTTGGCGGTGGGCCCGAGTTTGAGTTCTACCGTATTCACCAATGGGCAGGCGACGCTGCCGCAAGTCCGATCTGTTCCAGATCCACCGTCCCTAGCAAACATGGTTCCGAGGATGTCGTCCGTCCGCGTGCCACTTATCATGTACGCGACGAACGCGTTTCCAGCGATCAAGCCCACATCGTGAGCCACCTATATTACGCGAAAACAAGAAGTTGAGCTTTATATTAAAATATATATTGGTAAGTACTAGGACTAGGGACTTCATGCCCTTAAAAACCTTAAAATATGAATGCATTTATGCCTTAAATAATCAATGAATATACTATTAAAATATGCATTAAAAAAAAATTTAATTCTTTTATAAAGCCGTTTAGCCAATCATACGGTTTTGGTTTAGTCTAGGCATTTTTTTAAATTATTTTATTATGAGTTCACTCCAAAGAAAAAACACGACACGAAAACAAAATACGAGGAACACCTACTGTCAACTTTTACTATTCACGAGACCGGATGGCCTCTATCTACAACTAGTCATAGTCTATAAAATGTTTTTTTGGTATCATTATCGGCTTCTCGCCTATGGGGAATCACGCGCGTGGTGTACCGATAAGTAACAATACAATTATAGTGATGGACAAGAAAAACGCATACATTCATTTTTAAATATTTATATCCGGTCCAGGAAATCTATTTAAAATGAACTTTTTTTTATAAAATTAAAAAACTTACTTCTTATATAAATAATTGTCAAATATGCACTAATAAAATGACAAATGGTCAAATATGCACTTTTAAATGAAATATGGTCAAATATGCAAAATATGCAACTATAAATTTTAAATATAAACTTGTATTGCTATGAAACAAATTTCTATACTACCTAGCTATGTTTTTAATGACTATTTAAAAACATGCAAACTCCTAGAAGTCCCGAGTCCTAGACTAAGTACTATAGTACTATGTTTAATCATATTTCCTTATTGGTTATCATATAGTTAAATAGTTAAATAGTTAATTCGAGAAAAAATGGTCCAGGGTACCACTAATGTAAAACTTGTATATAAAATAGATGCATATTATGGCAATTATGAAATTTAGGTATTGTCAACATTTACTAGGCAATATCATTAAAGATTAAAGACATCTTTGGAAACAATGATAATCTGGAATAAATAATAATTCATATCATTGACTTAATAAATTAGGCAACATTCTAAATGTACAACATATTGACTATAGCCATTGAAGGTATTTCCTGATCGCGTATTACAATTTACAAATATAATATTTTTACTAGAAGTGACAATAATAATGATCATCAAATTTTTGTAATAATTTATAGCAATATAAGACATATAGAGTATAATCATATGATAAATAATAATAAGCTGTCACACTGTCTCCGCTCAGAATCGTTTTAAATATGCAATGATTTATCATTGAATTTAAATTTAACACATCCATTACCTAAACTATTACAGTGAACTATTCTATGAAGAGGTACATACAATTGATTCATTCACTCACTGTAAAGCGGAGTCGTTACCTAGTTACCCCCATTTTATTTTCGTTTTAAAAATGTTTTTATTTTTAAACTAATATGAATTAATAGGACTGTCATCCTTTCTGATCAATATAATATGTAGAAGTAATATAGTATTAAGTAAAAATTTAATTTTGAGAAAATTAATTAGAATTGCGAAAATTATATTAAAAGTATTAACGTCAAACTATTATAAAGTATAATGGGATTCAAAGTAAAAATAAACTTAAAAGTTTGAGTAAAACTCAATTTAACCGAAAAACAATTTTATTGTATTGATAAGAAGAATTCACACTGACAGTTGCGTTATTTCGTTTTTCCCTCAATCCGACGCGTACATTAAACTAACTCAATTACTTTTCAACCCTAGCTTAAGTAATTAAAATGTTATTCTATAATCAACTAAAATATTATTTCAATAAAATTAAAAAGTAAATCCTAAAGGTCATATAAAGAGGCTTTCTATCTAGATTTGATTACAGGTCAACGAGTGCAATAATATCAATCCAAATAAATCTATTTTTCGGTACTGCGCAGTACGTCATTTTGCCCCACAAAGTGTGTGAAACAAAGATAATAAAACCTTGTGCGTAGTTCTCTCAAATCAAATGAAAAAGCAATAAGAAACCGAGAAGACTGTAGGTCGCTATATTGGAAAAAAGAGCAATCTGATGGGCTATAAATTCGAAAAGCAAATAAACTTAAGTCGTAAAGTAAAGATAAACATCTATGCGGAAAAAAGTTATACAATTGAAATAATAATTTAGTCCATTTTGTGAAGTATTCCAAATGATTGAACGAATTGTCCAATGACATAAATTTTGATTTCAAAAAATTTAAATTAAATTAAAATTTACAAGATATTTGTTTTCTAAATATACGTAAATTATGAGTGTAGTACAAGTGCATTAAAATTTAAAATATATGTAATCAATTTTCAATCTACAAAATATAACAGTTGGATTGTTTTTCAAAATGAGTTTGACTTTGTAATATAAATATTTAAATATTTTTTTCTATCATAATATTTTTTATTATATTAATATTATTATTTATTGTATTATACTTTTGCAATACTCGCATCCGAGTATGATATATTTTTAACATTGTCAATACCATCCTAGTAAAATTCCAAAGTTACTTATAATAAGTATAAGTATAGATATACAGGTATAAGTGTATAATGTAACTGTTAATAATTTTATCATCTGAGGACTAAGGTAGCAATGAATTATAAGGTATAACGATACCCAGAAAATTACCAGTTTACTTGGGATAAATAGTATGTAATCTGTGGCATAATAAAATCTTTCAGTAACAAATACCTACTGGTTTACTTTCAGTATATTTTTGTTTTCAAGTTTTCAACTCATTCTTAAGTTCTCTGTGCTCGGGTTTTATAGACCGTAAATAAAATTGCGATAGCACTCAAACAATCGAATGTCTTGGTGACAGTCCTAGTATAATATTAAGATCAATGGTTCATAGCCATGAGACATGGAATCTTCAAGAAGAGTAATGAAGTTCCTGTTATTCAAAATTAATAGATTTTTACTATTTTATGAATGACTCAAAATATAAATCCAATTTATTAAGATGAGAAGGTGAAGAATAAATAAATATATATATATAAAATTAAGTCATGTTTAACAATATTATACAAATCCAATAGTATTTGTGGGTAGTTATACCAAAGTGTGAGTCAAACATTTGTTGGTAGGTCGTACACTATCGGTGTTATGCTTAACAGTCTTGCAATAGGTAGTTATGAACATCTTACCTGGAGTCCCCTAGCCAGATTCCTGGCCACCGCTTCTCGGCGACCGTTGCCCTCGAGTTCACACTCCTCTCGGTCGGACAGCACATATGCCATTTTAGATGCGAGCGCCATGAGCACAGCAGTGCGGGACGCCGTCCAGCATCCCAACCAGGCGCCCATCAGGAAGTAACCGGGCACCAGTACCACCACCTTTGGGTACAGATGTACGGTGACGAAAGCGACAGACACCAGGTAACCGGTAACCAGACATGTCCTGGTGCCCAGCCGGTGAACAGCAGTTGGCCCAAACAGTGCGCTCATCGCTGCCATGCCAAACATTGCAGACAGCAGAACAGAACCAATGTCCGTGGTGACGGTGGTAAACCCACCATTCTGCTTCAAATTGTCCGGCCACCACCAAGCGGATATGGAACCCTAAAATATTTTTGAACATCAGTCACAAGCAGGGCTCGAAACAGGGGGGTTAAGCCGAGGCACTGTAAAGGAAGTCTTGGTTGGATGGTGTCAAATTATTAAATAATAAGTGGATATATTAACAGCTTTTATTCATTATATAATGAGTATTATAATACAATTAATTACAATTTTCATTTGACTTTTGATATGAATACCTCTATTTCCCATACGAATTATCAACTATTTCAATCGAAAATCATGTAGCCAAAAATTTAGACTAATGCAATATTATAAACGATTTTGTTTCCAAAAAATCAAGAAAAATCAAAATTTAATGATAATTTGTTATATGTACTAAACTTAATTAAAATAGCCATATAGTCAATAGTCAATTTACCATAAGTTATTGTCATGCAAGATACTACCATTGATTATGAATACTGTAATTATAATAAATGTATATTATACACGCATTACACATTGTATAATGTATAATGTATATGGTATTTGTGTTTTTTCCCTCCACCCCTTACCTAATCTAACCAAATGCAAATAAGCAATACATCTGTTGTAAGCTAAATATCATACTGTAATTATCACCAATCAGATGTTATCTATTTATATTTGTAATTTAAATTGTTAACTGTACCTACCTAAAACTATCTTATTTCATGGTATCATCAGTCAGCGTTTATTTTTTATTTACTACATGCTCGTTTTCTGCAATGCAGAGAATTAAATATGGATTAGAACTTCTATGCATCATGATAGAATCTTACTTTAATACATATAGAAGGGACGTCTTTAATAATATTTCAATGGAATGCATTTTAAACGAATTTTCATAAATACGGTAGGTTCTCGTTGTAAGAATAAATTCATTTTATCATTTTAATTGTTAAAATAATTTAGTTGTGTTATTTATTTTGATGTGAATGAATGTGAGGAGTAATATACCTCTCATCTTGAGTGATAGTAATAATGTATCAATAAAATATGATATAAAATCTGGTAAGATTTAAAAAAAAATTATTAGAAAAGAATTGCCACTATTCTGTTTGGCATTAAATTTATCCATCCCTCTCTCTCAAAAAAAATTTTAATTGCTCAGTACAACATAGGGAGAACTACGCCGAAATAAATTCACGCTGATAGGCGCATGTTGTTTTTGGGATGACATTGATCGGCAGCGTTATACCTAGTACCCTACAATTATAATTTATTATAATAAAATATAGGATAATAATATAAATCGTATTCCAATATATTCCCATAAATGATAAATCATAGCATGACCACGTGCCACCGATACGTAAAAGCTCGATTTATTGAGTAATATTATACTTCTATTATGCATATAGGATCTATATTGTAGATATACAATATACATGATAATATTGCGTACAATTATTATCCGCACCACGGCGGTGGTATATTATAACGTCGCTGGTACACCGTCGAAGTTTAATAATAAGGCTGAACGTTGCATAATCAAACGTGACTGTTCTTACATATTAGGTGATAAATATTGTTGTTAACGAAACCTCTGATATTAACTTGGTTATTGTTGAGTGCGTACCATTATAGTTTTTAGAAGATACCTTAGGGCATTATAGTAACATAAATATAAATATTATTTTAATGATATTGTTATATGAACAAATAGGTATCTAGATATAATATTATGTCATTAAATAAAATCTCCTGGAATCGTGATTGTTTATTATTAAATTTTGTTTTGCAGACGTCGAAACACAAAGCTAATTTTCTTTTTCGACGTAGAATAATATATGAATATACATATAAATGTACAATATAATATTATTAGTATAGCCGTATAGATGCTCCCCGTTAAAGTTTAGAGTAGAAAGTCATAATTCAGTTATTAAAATCAAAAAAATGATATAGCATATAGTGACAGCTTCAAAAGAAAAACAGTTATGGAGTTATTAAGAATTATCGTTGAGTAATGCGTTTTTACTGTTAAATGCAATCGTGTTCAGAAAATTTGTTAAGTTATATCTTACCAATCAGTAAAATTCTACAATTGAGTGGAAAACCAATATCAGAGGCCCTAGTCATTTATATTTTGTAGTTCATGTTCTTCTTGACATACCAACTGATATTAAAAATTAATTACTAGGCCTAAATCTAACTAAACAGTGCAATTTACCAGCAGAATATTAAGAAAAATATTATAGACGTTCTATTTTCATTCCATGATTAAATTCTCTTGTAAATATTATAACCAAATAATTTTTAAAGCACAAATCTGTAATAAACATTTTTAAATGCTTCCTACCAACTGAAAATACTCCTAATCAAGCAAAAAAATCACAAGAAAAAAATAAAACTTTTAGAATTGTATAACAATAATATACCACACAATAGTATTAATTGTGCTTCAGATCCGAGTTTGATTTGTAATACCGAAAATCCTGTTGCCAAATCATAATTGAAATTATTGACCACATAATGCGATCGGTGCACTATGTTTGTGCAATAATACTCTATTTCAAACAATATTTATACTTTTATTGCCTGTTTCGTCTAGTACATCAGAAATATGATTTTTCATTTTAAGAATAAAAACATAATTATATTAAGAAACATCTACTGAATAGATACCTGTGTCTCATATTCATAAACATGTTGAAACTTTAGAATTGATGTCAATATTATGAGAAAAAGGATCAAGATAACTTAACTTTATCATTTAAAACGTAAGACCTAGAAAGAATTATCACCATATCCAGAATATAATAAACAATAATAATATATTTATAGTCATAACTTCACCATGACTTTATAAAAACCCAAAATGCAAAAAAAAACTATTGAGACATAGTTTATTTCATAAGCAAGTGAGTAAAAGCTCGTGCTTTTACACATGCCGGCTTCCGGGTTTCTGCACACATTTAAAAATAAATACTATAGCTGGCCTATAAGAAAAAAATCCTGTGTGTGCCCTTGCTCTAAAGTGATATTTCGAGTACTGCCGTTAGTCGTATTATATAAATATACTTTACGTAATACTTATAAATGTATAATACACAATATCGGAAATGGTAAATTAGACACTGACTGCTGCCGTATATCTCAAATCAACAGGTGTGCAGGATCTAAAAGATATGTCTAGTCCAAACAAATATTTATTGGTATTATTGAGTATTTCAATATGTTTTAAAGGGTCTTCAATATTTTAAAAGCTGATAAAAATAATGTAATAAATTATATTATATAGTGTACTATAAACGAAATAAATAGATAACTTATTACATAGGTAATAATTTTTTTTTTGCGGTCTTCCGTTCATCATAATAAATAATCCATACATCATATTATATCGCCATTGCGTTAAGCCACGATAGCGAAGATGATTATGTAACTATCAGATCCTATAGATCTTAATGGCGTCCAGACGCTGGGAGAAATATTGAGCCCGAACCCAAAATCCACGTGCGCTATTGCTTATTCTGATACGTTTTATGGGGTCCTCGATTTATTTAAAGCTGGTAAAAAAAAATTAAATTATATTATATAGTGGGCTTGCACGAAAAAAATAGATAATATTATTATTATTTTACAGGACCTCTACATTAATTTTTTACCCAGCCTCTCCCGGCTTCAAGATCTTATGCTGATTATTATTGGTAATAAATAATAATATCTCTTGAATGCATTTAACACATTATTTACTATACTACTTGGGGGTATTGTACTATTGTAGATATAATTTAGTCAAGATTTACCTTTCAAGTACAATACTATAATTATTATTCTATATACCAACAATTTATAAACACATTGCAGTACATTTTAGATTACGAAGTGTGTGCATAATTTAAAGATAAGTTTAACAAAAAAAAAAGTAATATACTTCCGTTCAATAATCTTATTTTATATTTAGGTTTCATTAGTTTTTATTTAAAAGGTAATTTAACCATAACAAGTTTTTTATCAGATTTTACTGAACTTTTATGTCTTGATAAAGTTTATCAAAATTTAATTTTATAGTATTTAAAACATTGCAATCTTATATCTGTATTGTGCTTTATAGGAATATTAGTGAATGTAGTACATACAATTAATAATGACTAATGAGTGTAAAATTAAGCATGAATAAATTATGCCTTAGAGAAAATAGCGTCAACAAAATCAAGATTAATTGCTGTTTTTAAATTTATAAATATGAAATGATTACCAAAAATAATACATTTAGGTAATAAATCATAGTATGTATAAATATGTGTTATAAATATTATACACATTCAAGGATTGAGAAATTATGTTTTAATCAATAAATTCATTGAAAAAATTGTAAACAAGGTGATTCAAAAGGACTTATATACACTACTAGTATGCAAACAATTTAATTGCATAAAATGTTTTTACTTCTTTATAATATACTAATTATTTTGGTTTTCACTATTTCAAAATGTTCACCATTACTTTTATTTTCATACCCATTCAAAATATGAAATATCTTCAGAAACTATTGATTTACAAAATATATTGAACACAGAACCAAATTTACATTTTTAATCAAATATAATCATGACCAAAGTTTTAATGGACTGAAAACTAAAGCTTAACCCATAAAATAATTCTCCCTTTGATCAAAACTTAAAACATTTGTAAAAACCTAAAAATAATCTGTTAGCTTACGAAAAGTTCAAAATTATTGTAATAATTCAATAAATATGTCAAAATTATATAACATTTTAGTAAAAGTTGCATCAAAATAACAAGTAAAAAGCTTCAAAAATCGGAATGATGATAAAATATATCAAAACATAGTATAGGTATGTTTTATAGACGTTTCATAAATACACAAGGATAAGTATTTAGTTCTATTTTTTAGTTTTTTGTTCTTTTATATATTACATTTTTTTGTCATCATCATGGATTTATTTTAAAGGCTTGTATCGTACCTATAACTTAATGTAGTAGAAGTACTATAAAAGTTTTACAATAACCCCACAACAGATGAAAAATTGGTCACTGGTGGTACACGATACACAATGCTAAACCAATGAACTCTACAGGATTAAGTCCACTATTTAATACATAATTACTTAATTTATTAATTTATTAAATCATTAATTTATTTGAGTTTTGAATAGTTGATATACACGGTTATTTAAAAATAATATTAGTTTGTATTAATACTACAATATACACTAATATACAATAAAGTAATCTACTCTTAAGATTTACGGCGTCATAATATTAGTTCTTAGTCTTGCCGATATAATAACACAAATCGACTTAGCTTAGAATTATATTAAGATTAATCAATGTCTTTAACTGTGATTCCTTTATATTCAAAATGTTTGAAAGCACTTACATTACATGTTTTGTTCGTGGTGGTTTTATTATTTTTGTTCGTGTACGAAAATGTTAACTTATAACATATACGAATGTAGAATAATAATAGTTATGTAACGTTTTTAATAATGATATTTTGAGAATAAAATTGCTGCTTCTAGGTGACACTTTTTTTGGTGAATTTTCAATACTACTAAAAAAATCAAGTAAGTGGGAGAAGTGTCAATTTGTTTCAATTCATTGTTATTTATCAAGAGGTCTGCATTGCGAAATGTCTACTAAAGTTTATACATTTCTGAAACATTTTTACCTGATGGTATTGGATCTCTTTAGTATGTTAAATGTGTGCTAATGAATAATAATATAAAATTATTCAAAAATAAAATTGAGGATTTGTAATGAATTTAAAAGCTAGAAAAAAAATGTCATCGTATGAAACCTTTTGTTGACTAGAAAAATAATAACAATTTAAATGTATTGAATCGTAAAGACAATTCTTCTACTACTACTCACATTTATTTGTATTTTACTTTTGAAGCCACAGTAAGTATTAAACAATCGTTGAGATTTCCATGCGTTCGACCAAATCACAAACACTAACGCTATATACATCAGACATTCTATAAATGTATACTGATTCCTCAAAATTATATATCACAAAAATTGTGAGGATCTAGTAGGAGATTCATTCTTTGTACATCTACAAATAACGTGAAATAGGAAGACATGGTATCCAACAAAACTATATCGACATTAATTTCGTCACGCTAGTAAATATCATTTTTCTTGTTAGAAATATCTAAATCTTGAATCGGTATAGTTCTCAATAGCGAACTGAATTCATGTATACCCTTTTATTACACGTTTATTTACTTTAATAATCAATACTAGCTAGTCAATTGACATTATCGAAATTCTGATGAACAGGTCAACAACGTACTCTGTATAAATCCAAAGTAATATGAAGGTTTTTGTGTAAAGTTACTGCTTATACTTTATAATACTTAAGGTGTCTGAAAGGAAAAAAGCTATTAGCTTTTATATCTATTTTTTCTGTCTACTTTTTAACATCAAAAATACCTATTAAAAGAAACACTATTACGTGTTCAGCATGTTATACACTCTGATTTTTACTCGTATTCCGTTTTTAAGGTACATTTTATTTTATTTATTGTGAATCAAAATATATTTCAGTGCACACATAATAATATTTTCTATTTTTTATTTTTACTTTACTTGAATTCTAAACACCTACGAGAGTACATTATTGCATTTGTTATGTTACTATCTTATCTCTATAGGTTAAAACATTAAACATACGTCAGTATAATATAATCATAATTTAGTATGATAAAATAATATTACTATTCATAATAAAACCTCATGTGATCATGTGAGATCGGAACATGAAATGGGTTCATAAGCGGAATTTACTTGTCTATTTTTTTGAATCCATTACGTAATGAACGAAAACACTGATTATACGCTTACCAGAGAGGATAAGTATACTGTTTAAACATTAACAAAATCTATCCAATAAATTTCTTTTAAAGTAGAATTAGGCTTAGGTTTCGCTATAGAATCAGTTGAACGAAACATAATGAAACCTAGTTACAACTAATGGTTTTACCGTAGGACATGATAGACACAGTATCGTCTGATTCGCATGAGCACTCATTCGCTTTTATGTTTTTCGCTTACATACTTTTGTACAGTTTACCAACTTTACTACATAATAGAACTCGCATATTATGCTATAAAATAAGGGGATCACACGTAATTAGGTTATACTATCTAGACTCTAGAGTCTTGAGTAAAGGTTCGTATTCTTGGGACTAGGGTAGAACCTGATTTTACACAATTTATCTCTTTGAAAACACGATTGCACATATTTGCATTCGAATAACAAAGAAAACCTCTATATACCTACAACACAATTGCGTAGGCACCACTAAATGGACTCCAATGTCAAAATTATAATACAATTTTCAAAATCAGAACCAAATTTAATATTCTTTTTCAGCATTAGAAATAATTTGGGCAATATTATTCTAAGGATAAAAATTAATCAACTGTTTTTACTAAACAATCTGTGTTATAATATTATCGTTAAGCATTGTCATGCAAATAAACTTTAAAAAAGTATAATAATTAATTATAATCACAAAATGTTGTCCTTCAATGCATATATGTACCTATATCACCTATACAATACGCCGTATTAAGGATTATGTTAAACACCAACGTGATACCTAATATTAACTATACCTACGACCGAGTGTGTAAAATATTAATATGTTTAAACTACTCGATGCAGAATAACAATGTAAAGTTATTTAAATGAATATATTATTACATTTCAAAGCAATGCTACAATAATATTAGCATCGCACTCGAAACATTTTTTGCAAATTGAAATGTGTTTCTAAAAAGAAATTTAATAACAATGTAAATATTCTAAATATCTGCGTTTTAATACAGATGGGAGTAATAAGTGAGCAGGAACTGAGTTCTAGGCTTTATCTGCATATATGATACTATTATTGAGACACATTGATTCAAGAAATATAGTGGCATGTCAAAAATAATTTTTTTTTATTAGTATTCAAAAATGCTTCTTGTATACAAAATATAGTAATTATTAGCATATTACTATACTATGGTGGCATTACTTGTACTTTAAGTGACTTAGATAAGTGCCGTGACTCATCATGTTTCCTGTCATACAAGCCAGATATAATTTGATACATAATATTAAAATGCGTATTGTAACCTAACCTTCGAACTCGCATTACTAAACGATCAGATATATTGAAACAGTCCCTCGTGGTGCGTACCTCGCCCTACCCTGCAGCAGATCGAATAAAAAAAAATCATAATAAAACATAAATCGCGATTTAGGAACACAATTTCTTGCACAATCCTCAGGCATTCGTCACATCTTTGAATCTCGTGTAATTAATGTAGCATATTTTGTGTTTGTAATAATATAACATAAGGTACCTGTAATGCCATAAACGGAACCAAAGCAGCGGCGGCCGCACCGTGTCCAAGGCACAGTGTGACGTAGTTGCGGCACAACAATCTCCGGCTGTACACTGGACCCATGTTGGACGGGGTCGTTCGGACCACTTCGATGAGGCGGCGCACTGACGAGGCTCCAGCCGAGCTGGACAGCGAGTCACGTCTCTTGCCGCTCGCCGAAGACGCGTTGGCGACGCACACCTGACGATTCGTGGTGGATAGCGTCGACCTGAGCGACGTCGGTGAAAACGGTTTCTGCAGAGCATAGGTATATGGAGTGCATGAAAACAATTAAAATTAAAATATATAAGAAACTATTATACACAAGATGTTTGGAGTGCAAGAGGTGGCATATAATAGTGAAGGGCCGGGTACAAAGAACACACATTTTAAAATTAAATTCTTATAATTAATGTATATAACCACCTGTATTTTCATACCTAGTGTGTAAATAAAAAATTATAAACTTTTACATTTATACAACAATATTATAAAAAATCAAATTAATATTTTAATGAGCAATCGCCAGCTTAATATTATTTATTCATATTTTATTTAAAAAATTGTTTACCATTATTTATGTAAGCTACAATAATAAATCACATAATATGATTATAAATGGATAATATTACATATTTAAGAGTGGCAAATTTTAGATTTTAGTGTACAGAAAGTAATGCACTATAAAGAAAAAAATAGTAAATTGGTAATTTAATAATTTTGGTTTGTTGGAAAAAACATACTTCGATAGTCGAAACTTTAGAAACATCAATGTAATATGATAAAATAGTCAGCTGTAATAATCTCATATTATTTTATCGAACCTGGAAATATTGACGTTAAATGGTATGTGTTTTAGTTAAGGAAGTGGGTTAAAATCCATCAATATAATGTCCCAAGCCCAATCACCAATATACCCAGCCATATATTATAATTTATAAGTTATAACACAAGCAGAACTTTTTTTTCGAAAACTTCAGTAATAATTATTGTACGTAACATGTTCGGCCTTAAATTCAAAAAACATGCTCTGAATGGCAATCAATGACTTTTTTCCAAGACCTCTAGAATTCACCAAAAAAACCAATTATATCATCATATGTGTAGATAAAAAAAAATGATTTTGTAAATATTGTTTATATGTGTATGACATACACTGTTTGTATATGCGCACTTTAACTGACATAAAAAATTTGCAACTTTCCCGTCTGAAAGGAATATTTGTTTTAGATTTTCATACCTTATCAGTTTAAACAATATTTGTAGGGTTTAATTTTGATAAGTTACCTAATTTACAGTTAAATTATAATTGAAAACTGAAAATGTTCATGACTATAAAACAAAAAAAAATAATAGAAAAACATTATAATGTTACCGGCAGTCATGATAATTTAGTAAATAACTACATTTCCACGGACATTTCTAAAATGCCTTGAGTTTTTAGCCGATGGTTAAAATGGATAATTTATTACAGTGTTGACTATTCATAGTTCTTATAATTATAAACATTTCCCTAAGAAGCATTTAAATTATTCAAGTCATTCTAAAGTTATATAGTAAATTATATGAACGTATTTCCACAAAATGTTTATACTAATATAATCTTTGATTAGATAAAGTCTGGTCTTGATTAGCTCACTCCATGCGCGTACATAACATACTCATATGTTATACAATTTGTTATTATTAACGATTATCACTTGCCATAGTCATAAAATATGTTATCATATTATGGATACCTACTGCGTTATAGGGTATACCGTATACCTATTAGTTTTTGTCTATTTTGGTTTTGTGACTAGTCATTTTTTGAGTCTCGTCCGATTTTCACTAGAATTACTTTGCATATCCACACAGTACTTGCTAATACATTTTAAAGTATTCAATTTTTTTTATTTTACTGTCCTACCTTTTTATCATATTTTACTAGGATTTAGTATGTATTTTAAGCAAAATACTTCAAACATTTAACAATGCAAATGTGTCACTTATTTGTAAAAATCGTGATGACCATAATGATTTTTTCAGTAAAAAAATTTTTATGCGGGCTTATGTGATTATGCAATTATATGAAAAAAGTTAATAATAAAACCCTGCAAGATTCCATATTGAGAGGGTGAACACAAAAGATTACAAGAGATGTTGAAGAGTGAATAGATATTATGTTAAAACATAGTTAGCAGAAAAAAGCAAGAACTGACCAGTGACCAACGTTTTAATTTCCAAGAGTCGAAAGGAAAAAATTGGGCTTTTCATTTGACATTACTGGGTCTCTTTATGTATCTATGTTTGAATTCCCGATTGAGCCTATAGTTTCGGTTGGGTTTTTATCGGACGCTATTGATGAATTGAGCTCCGAGGAAGTATAGTAGTCACATTTCTACAATTGGAAATAGAGTATGATGACAAAACACTAAGTAGAGGGCATGCAGTACTTGGTTCAATATTACAATTATTTTACATAAATGTATAAATTATAAAGTTTTAATTTTTTTAGTTGATAATTGTCTATAAAAATAAAAACAGGCAATAAATGTATTAAATCATCTAAAAATTTCCAGAAATTCCTGATGGGAACAACTGCCCGGGTACTAACTTTTATTATGTAATATTGATCGATCAGATCACCTCACAATCTTGTTGGTAGTAATAAATTACTGCAGTATAGTTATGAAAATAAATATTTCTATAAGCTGTGTAGTAATAAAAATTTGTTTATATTATATATTTCATGTAATAGTAATACAATGTCTGGTAGGTTAGATTTTTGAAACATGAATACACACGAATGAAATCGCATCCACGCAGAAAAACATTTTGTAACTACTATCTATTTCAAAACAGGTTCTAGGCGATAGGATATAATTCTTGAGGAAGCAGCGTGGACTAAGGTAGTATCACTGGATCACAGGGATTTCAAAAATATAAGAGTGCATGTCATGCTTGTTATTAAATATGTAATTCAACATCTTAACATGCTATAGTTGGTTGCTATGCAAAAATCAATTTTACTGGTAATTAGTGTAGTTATATAAAAAATAACCCTTTTTTTACACTCCCTAAACTCTGAAGGCTAAAAAGCATTAGTCACTGATCATAGTTCTAGTCAATATTTAGAAAACTAATATTATTAGACATCTTCAAAAATGAATAGGAAATAATATTAAAAGCAATTTGGTTATTATGTTGAACATCATAAATTCATTCTTGATAGTTGATACCACCTATAATTATCATCTTTATTAGTAACGTATACATACATTATGCAAAGTTTAGCAGTGGCATTAATTTGAGAGCTAGTGCAGTTTATTAGAAAACACCTTATTATTAAATCACCAACATACGTTTGTATTTAATATTTAAATTCGTTTTAGCCAAAAAGGTAACTATTTAAAGTTATGAGTATTAATAGATTAATGTACCCAGTTACAAATATAATTAAAAATGTAAATTTTAAATATAATAAAAATATAATTGCAGAAGCTAAGATACGTAAGGTGTGTTTATACTTTAAAATAATATTTAAATATACAGCGTATAAGATATAAGTATAAATATATTATAAAACAATTGTTTAAAATATGATTAATGACACTTATTATTTTTATCTCGGGGATTTAAATAAAATAAAAATGAAATTAGATTTAAATATTCACTAAAATGTAATATTACAAAATATTGTATTATCAACTTGTATAGTTTTATAACATTTGTGTAATAATAAAAACTTGACATAAAATATATAATACGTATTAGGTGCCTAATATATCATTTTACAGTTTTTTTTTGTTCATAACTCTTATGGTTATTACATTTTATATATTATACGGAGTACGCACATAGTATGGCACATTATATCACAGTCTAATATAATGAAAAATATCAGGTTGAATTCAACAAAACTGAATAAAAACCGTAACATTTCCATTAAATAATACTAAAATAACATTATAGTTTTAACAAAGATCAGCCAATAATCAGTATACATAAAATATTAAAGTTAGAATTTCAGTACCTCAATTTTGATAAAAAATCTTTCAAATAAAATCTCAAAGCATTGTGATAACTAGATTTGAATCTTGAATTCAATGAACTCTAACGACCAACAAATAAAATATTCAAATCTCAGCAAATGAATAGTTAAGTAGCTTAACTATTAAATATAAAATAATAAAAAGTAAACCCCATCTCAACAGTACAGTCTATAAGGATTGATCACTTTTCGCGTACCTACGCTTACCACTCAGACTTTATCATTTATGTCTATATTATGTGTATACACTATAACGATGATTCGTATCTAAATTGAATTCTAAAATAGTAATCTTATGAAATTTTATATAATATCACAAATGTGTGGTTATAATATAATTATGTATTATAAAAGTAATTTAGTAGGTCACTGTTTGTTTAAATATAAAATATTACGATTTCAAAAACATAAAATAAATAAAGCCAAGAGATACCTACATTTTAATTATAACAGTTTTTGTACACTTGACATTTGTACACTGGTACATTGCTTACTGCTACTTTATGCGCATATATTAATTATTACGTTTACTGAGGTTTAAGGGTACATACGCAAACCATGTAGGTAACATAGGTTAACATAATAATGATTTTCATCGAATAATTTTCGCACTATTTACTTGTAACTTAACGTACTATATTATATGATATGCAAATTATATTATTGTACAACTTTACTGATCACTGATGCATGCCTGCTCACGGTTAAACTATTTACTTAGTCGTGAAACCCTGGATAGAGGAATATATTATCAAGGGGATTATATTATGTATAACACAGTATAATAATAAGAGTGTCTTTGAATTTCAGTGTCTAATTTGGTATACGTTTGCTTCACTGTTCCCAAGGACCACTAGCTGTCAGCTTAGCCTAAATTATTAGAAATAGGTAAACTATTTGCGTCTTCGTTGTGGTGATAATGTGATATATTATTAAAGTGTCATCGAAGGATCTTTTATCTCGTCACGGGGTTCGCATCCAGATGGAACAGCAGTGGTATAAGCTTTAATAACTGCTACATTCTATAACCATTGATACACTCTACTGAGCTGCTCAACAGAAGTGACTCTGAAACTTTGAGCTTACCAATGAATTTAATCACATAGTTTTAAAACTGGAAAAAAACTTATCTATATAACAAAAGAAAAACAGTTTGTAAATCGAATTTAGTATAATATCTGGCATATAGGTACTTACAAAAAATTGTTTAAAATAAAAATAATTACAAATATCAAAAAAATTTGAAAATAATTGATAACCTAAGGCTAAATTACTTTTAAAATGACAATATTAAATGTAGTACTTACACGATATTAATTATCAATAGTAAATTTAATATTAGCATAGCATTACAGTACATAGTACTTTAAAGTTGAATTTGTATTAATATGTAGGACACCCAACTCCTTGAAAAAGTCATGGCTACGCGCTTATTCAAAGACTAAATACTTAATTTTTTGAAAATTGCCAGGTAGTTGGCAGCAGTAAATATATTTTTTTTTTTTTTTTAATTGATCCTGAGCCCGGCAACTGAGGCCATTAGCTATTAGTAGGTACTGTAGGTTTTTTTGTATTGATGGTTTGTAGGTTTTTGGAACGGTAGGGGGAACACGTGTGTGTTTGTTTTGGCAGAATTTCGAATGGGGCACCCGTAGGTTTCTGCCATGCCCCGGGGGTGGGGGATGGCAGCACTTGCTCTCCGGTCACCGCGACTTGTCCGGAGAAAAATGCCGCCCGGTGGCCGAGGATCGAACCGCGACCGGCTGCGTCGCAGCGGAAGAGTCAGACCACTCGGTCACCTCGTCCCCCAGTAAATATATTATTTTTATTTTACCGAGATATTCAAATCGCCTAGCCGTTCGAGGACGGCTAACAGAGTATTGAGCTGATAACTAACCACTTTCTCTAACAACTATTTGATATTTAATAACGAAACTAATTTATTCTATTCATCACAATATTACGATTTCAACACCAAGCTATAATATATAAACTGATAATAAAGTTATATCATTATTATAATAATTGCAAACTCATATTTTATCATTGATTTAAAACTTTAATATAAAAAATGAGATTTATGTTATACAAATCATTACTGAAATAATTTGAGTCATTATTATTTTTGAATAAATTATAAAAACAAATAGTAATATTATTAATAGGTAATATAAATTACAAGTTAAAGGGAAAAAGTAAAAACAATAACTATGGTACGTATAACGATAATAATATTGTAAGAGCTTGTATAACCCACACATGGTTAAGTCCTATCTACCAATAAGCAAAAATAATAATATTGTACGTTTTATTATACGATAATAATATAGAATTTTCAATCGAGTTATCATAACCGTTCTGAAAATGCGATTCAATTTCACAAATGGATTTAAAACGTGTATTATGTATATATGTGCATACATTATAAAGCTTGCTCTAAGGTTTCTAATGTTTCTATACACAGTAGTCAGTAAGACTACATAATATTTTGAAATATATACATATTATTATTTATCATTTCATAGTTTTATACCATGTGCATTATGCATGGTTAAACATAATGACGTGTTATTGTAAATGTTATAATAAATATTTATTTTTATTGAACAATATGAACCAAGTTCAGTAAAAATTAATGCTGATGACTGAACTATTCTGGGCGACCGATGTTTTACACTTGTATACATAAAATAACTTTTTAGGTGAATTTGTTCTTTATTTCACTAGCATTTACATAAATTGTAACATTTAACTACAAAAAAATACAGTTTTTGAACACCAAACAATAAATTGTTTCAGTTTGGGTTTATTTATACACTATATAGTAAATTAAAGTGTAAATTTCTATACTTATATGCTACAAGCAAAACTTAGAAATGCCCGGGCAAAACACTAAGCGCCCAGGATACTTTAAGGTAAAACGTCATATCGTACCGTTAACTTAGATTGGAAAAATCCATAGGTTATAGCATCTATCCCTGTAATAAAAGTAGGTACTTACATCATAGTGCGACAGTTTTAATTTTATATTTCGTACAAAAATACTTTAAAACAAAAATACATTTAAACCATTGTCAAAAATTCACAAATAAAATGTATTAATATTATTTTAAATAATATCCATAAGTATAATATATGACTATATGAGAGATTGATAAAAATATTTTTAAAATCTATGGTAAAACTCAACGACATATTTACAATATCTTTCGTATGTAAGTATCTAGTATATTGTACATACTTAAACCACCGTTGTTTCATAAATAATTCTATAGAGAATCGACTATAACGATAATCGTTAAAATTTGTGTACATAATCCAAAGGTTTCTGCCCAGAGATATCTTTAATATAGTTTACAGCTCATCCGAAACCAAAGCTAATCAGCGAGGTCATACATAAATAAAATTTTAAAAGTAAAATCATGATCCATAAACGAAAAATCATGTACCTATACGAGTAAGCAATAGAATAAAATAAGTCCAAGAAACAATGCACAATACTCCACCTATTTTTTAGTTGTATATTATTTATTTAAATATATTTATAAATACTTGATAATTGACAAATCATTATTTTACTTATGATACTTCAAAAGTTTAATAGGATTAAATGATATCAATTGTATTATTGTGATGTAACGTTTCTAACAAAGCTGATTAAAATAATTTCAAACTATTCAAATGCAAAAATATACATAAATACATAATATATTAAATTATTTAATAATCCAAGTTAATTGGCAGATATTCTTAATTATAATATTTACATTAAACATAGCCGCTCAAAAAATGTTCATAATTGTTTATGTTTTCATTGACAACTTCCCAAATAGTCTGCTGTTTATATTTGAATGTGTTTAAAAATATAAATTGGTCATAATAATTACTTATGGATGCTAAAATGTTCAGAAAAATAATTCCTATGATAATCAAAAATGTTTATGTGAGTAAATTACCAATCAGCATAACATCGAAAGTGAACAGTGAACACTTTCGTAAAAGTTTAGTTTAACGCTGTTTATTATAACAAGCGAAAAAGAATGACATTATGACGATAGTTGACATAATCAGGCAATAGAGTTTGATTGAAAGTTTTCAAAAATAATGGCATTTTTCGAACATAAATGCTGTTTCTTTAAAAAAAGTACTTATGTAATATATATACATATAGGTAACGCCAAAAAATCGCTGTCGTAAGTATACAAGAACCTAAACAATTTGAACTTTTGTAAATGCAACGTAAATACAATAAATACTACTAAATACTACTATATACTACTAAAAATAAATATTTAAATAATCCGAACATAAACTAAAAACGAAAGTCTATAAATCCATTTTTAAATCCCTTCGGGCCTGAACTAATATAATTATCTTCGTTGGTGAAGAACACCACAATAGTGTATTATAAGCTGCAAAATAACACGGGTTATAGACTTACTGCATTTTGTACACAAAAATAGCGGGTAAACTATTTGTTTTAAATATTTATTTATTCCAAGTTCTATGTAAATCACCGAGTTTGTTTCAGGTAGGTTATTCATAGAAACGATGTTTTTTTTTCATTTATGACGATCGACACACACAGTTCAACAGTCACGTCGAACTGCAGTTGTCGCGAAGATGCGCACTATCGCAGCGGACGAAAATCGCATGGAAACATTCTATATACTTTCGGTCCGCGCGCACGCTAAAACATGTAAAGTACCCAAGTGCGGCGACAATGATCGAAGCCAATCCGTGTGATATATTCCGCGCTCATCATCACCGTTGACCGTCTTCGTCATCGTTTACCGTGATGTGCGTCAAATCAATCATTATCGCTATGTTATATACAAACCTCGTCGATCTGCATGTCGGCTTGCCGGTCGATGACGCCGTAAAAATTGTTGGTGCACAGGCTGTTGGTCTGCTGGAGTCGCCTGTGCGGCGCGCGGCTGGTGCCGGTGCCGCTGCCACCGCCGCGGTCTGGGCACGGCGACAACCTCGGGGCCGCGGGCACGCACACCGGTTGCTGCTGTTGCTGTTGTTTCTGTTGCTGTTTGCACAGCTCGTGCAGGTTGGGCAGCGAGCCCATCGCTGCCGGATATCACTCGGCGGCTGCGACGACGACGACGACAGCAGATTGATAATGCAGCGCGCGCGTGTGTGTATATGCAGTGTAGCGAATCGCGTACTGCGCGCGTGCACACGTATATCGTACTGCGCGAGTGTCGTGTATCGCGGCGGAGATAGCGGCGGCGCCACGCGTATAAACACACTATGCGACCGCCGCGGACACTCCGTGCGCCCGCGCGATATCGCGACGTCACGCTCTTATTTGCGCGCAAACGTGTCGCTATAACGACCGCGTAGGTACGCTCTTTTTTCTATGCGGTACACACGACGAAATCATAAGCGGCGGCGACCCGGACCGATGATGCGAGCGCGTGGCCCGCCCCGTGCTGGAGTGCTCATGCGTCGATCGATAGACGCCACGACGCGACCTCACGGGGAGGTCGCCGTCGTTGTTGTTGTCGTCGTCGTCGTCGTCGTCGCCGTCGTCGTCTTCGTCTACGGAGGTAGCCATCGCGGGTGTCGTTTCGCTACTCTTTGCAGCCTGTTGCGCCCGCTTTGTCATCATAACAAAATTATTATTGTTGTGATGAAGGTATTATTTGGACCTCGAGTCCCGAGTTTGAGAATGCCGAGCGTGCAACCAAGTGGTGCTTCAGAGTCGTCGGTGTATTGTACAGTGGACGTTTTCTTTATTTCCCGTGACTGACAGTTTTCTAAGAAAGAGAGAACATTACATAACATAGCTCCAATGAGTTGTTCGAAAATCGAATCTTGTACAGCTTCGAGAAATTTATCTCAAAAACCACAACTGTAATTGTTATAGAATTTACTCAAATTTGTAACCCCAATTTCAAAATGTTTACAATCTCCTGCCCCCAAATCACTTGTTAGAGCAATGTAGTATGCTACGCACAAAAATGATAATTTTAGTAACAGTGGAACGGTTTAAGTTTCGACAATTTATAACAAAGACAACAGAAAACACTCAGATTACCTTTTGCCGATTGACCGAAGTACCTTTGTTTAATGGCACCTACCTAGAGCATAATATGTTTTCCATAGACTAGTTATATATAAAAATCTATAAATTTAACATATATTTTATTAAAAGTATGAACGTTAACAACTAAATCAGTTACCAAACAGGTGGGAATCGGAGAGAGAAACTTGATGGGACTATAAACTAAGCCCCCCCCCCCCTCGAGCAAAACAAAGAAAATTTCAAATAGAGGTCCCCATTTCCTCCCAGGCACCTTACAGATATAAAGTGCCCAAATGCCCAAATGCCTAATAATTATTATGTGTACTTTTCATAAATTTCAACAGTACTTTATATGGTGAGAACTTTGGTGGTAAGCCCCTTTAATTAGATCCATTCAACAGGTAAATAATTTTAATATCGATATTTTTATTTGTAATTCCGTTATTTCTTTTAGTTTGTATCTTAATAATTTAATCACCTACAATATTGTACTTTTACGACAACCATTATGTACAAACATGTTTATGTTCCACATTTACCATTGTAATTGGACTCGCTCGTTAATTCATAATAAATAAATAAAATGTATCACAACAAAATTTTTTGTTTTAAAAATTAAATTTGTAGGTACCATTTGACAAATTTATCGTTAGATAACGTGGGTCGAAAGTCGATCATAAATTAACTCGCAGGATTTGTTTATTGGCCTAACCAACCTAATAACCAGGCCATAGTGCGTCGATGATATGAAGCCAACTCGATTACATGAGCCATGAGCCGGGCCACACGTTGTGGGAACCCGACTTAAGGTATATTACTAATATTTAGCTATAAATGTAGTTGATCAATTTTCCAAACTAATTAGGTTAATTAACTAGCAGTTCTTAAATACCCTAATTTTCATGCAACATAGTAAAATAAATTGTATTCATTGAATGAATTTATTTTAATCATTGACATTCAGTGCCACATGCAACTATGAACTTGAAGGCCAGTGTGCAAGGGTTTATTTTGAGGCCCCATTAATACTATTATTATTATTATTTCTAAAATATAAGGAAGTTAAAGTTACTTTATTACTTACTTAGTAATTACTTTTCATTAACCATGTGCAACAAATCAATATCAATGTTATTTACCACACTATTATAAAAAAACTGAAAAACTGAAAAAATAGGACATACAATTTCTTCTTTTAAAATGTGTTCCCTATACAGTGTTATTGCTATAAAAGTAACTCATTTTAATATTAGTAACTATTGCGGGAGGTTAATTTATTTTTGTCGAAAACAGCATTTATTATATTAATCAATATTTAACTATACTGATGTTATATTGTATATGAATATTATATTTTAATGAACTTTGTCAACATTTTAACTTCAAATGCTAGTAAAAAATCGTGCTTACTTAGGTATCTTCAATGCTGTTAACTTACTTTATAATATTATTTTTGTAATTCGTATAATAATGAATAAATAATAATTCAGATGTCACTGAAGTTGGAAACTGTAAACATAAAATAAAAATTTAACAGTCGTTATTGTTGTGCCCAAAATATTTTTAGATTTTAATTATAAAACAAGTTATGAGAATTTAAAAATGCAAAAACGGGGCCTGGTGTGGCGCAGTGGTTGGCCGAAGTCACTTATGGTCAATAAATTTTAAACAATTGATTTAACAGAAAACTGGAAATTAATGAAAAATCTTCAGCATGTTAGTACATGCTAAACACTAAAATATATCATGAATGAAAGTTCAGAAGACATTTTTCCTAATTTGAAAATAATCCTGAAAATGTACATGTGTAGGTACTTACTGTAACAAATTGTACTGTGGGTGAACATTCTTTTTCATTATTAAAAAGGGTTAAAATCAATATGAGATTTACAATTAAAGAGGACTATTAATTATAATTTAGATCATATACTAGTAACTATATGATCTAACTATCTAAGGTTTATAAGCAATAGCTTCATTTAAAATTGAAGCAAAACTTTTGAAATTTGGACATCATTATATATCATTTTGGGATTGCATTATTGCAAAAGCTAGATAAAAAGTGTTGAGCTGTAAATTTTTAATACTTGGTTCTCAAGTACCATCTCAAGTATTTCAAGTATTACCATAAAAATTAGAGATATTACTTACACATAGGACGTTTGGTCCCCCGGTATTTCAAATCACTAAATTGAAATAGCTTTTTTTTCTATTTGAAATTTCAATTTTTTTTAGAAAACGTAAAATCATATGTGAGAATAGCCACATTCGTAGAAGAAAATAATGAAATAAAAGCAAACATATTTAAATTCACAACAACCTTATATTTTTTAAGCCGTACACACCACAGTTGCCGTACGATTACAGATAGATCGAAAACATATCTTTATCGATGGATAATATTTATCTTAATATTAGATACTAGTAGTATGAGGTCTATGATTTTAATGAAAGGTCTTCTTATCGACTGATGATATTGCTAGACTATTATTTATTTGTCAGACTGTGGTAAAACATAGTTATTAGGACCAAACCATAAAATATGATATAAAATGTTATACACTTAATACTTATATCATCTATTTTTATATTATAAAGACTAAATAATAACCTAAAGTGTCTTATCTGGATAGGTAAGTACTAAACACTGCGCAATAATAGTTGGTCTATGTAATTGTGCTTAAGTACGTCAGTGAACTTACTGTGGAGTGTATATAACCACGAAAAGAGATGGAAATAAATTAGTGCACAACGATTATTTATACATTATAGGTAGGTACTATAAAAAAAAAAATATGTGAATATTGGTATCCGGTGGGTGTGTGTTCACAATGGGTTGTATATAATGGATCACTAACTACTGACGATGAAATAACTTTTGTTTTAAAATTTGAGGAGCATAATCTTAGATAGTACCGTGACACCGAGTACTGGCTTAATAAATACAAAAAAGCTAAATGTGTTATGAAGAATTATTGAAGAACACAACAAAACAAAATTATGATAAGCTACGTACCGTCTCTAATTTTCGAACTTAATGTGATCCTATTATCCAACGAAAGCAAACAATTAATTCCAAAGGAAGATTCGATGAAAACGAGTTTACGGAGTGTCTATAGAAATATGTGTCTTAAAATTGCAAAAATAGATGCTATTGTAATTTATATTGGAAGGAACGCAGTGAAGTACAGCCCGTGGAGAATTGAATTCAGAGCCATTTTTATTTCATGACAACAAAAATAATAATATTTGTATTATATTTTTTTCTTCAATAAAGTGCCACGGCGTTTTGTCTGAAACTTAAATTATTTACGTAGACGGAACATTCAAGTATTCAACTCATCCTCCTGAATTATACCAAGTATACAATATACATACTACTATAGGTGGAACTATAGGAGGGCTAAGCCACCCTAACTTATATTTTAGCCCCCCGTGTCATAATTATTAATTTCTATACTCCCACCAACGGTAACTACATTTGTAAATTTTAATTTAAAATATCGTTATATTTTTTTTAATAACATCTTTTGCTAAAAACAGAATCAGATTTTATATTACATTATTATATTGCCCTTCGATCGTCATAAGTACAACGGTTGTGTGCTTGTGTAGTTGTGTCTAACAGTTAGTATTCAGGTGAACATCGATATTATTGTTATTAAAATAAATTAGTCGAATTTGGTTTTCTCGAGTTTTCACTTGTTCAGGCTTTATTAACTATAAAATAAATAAAACTGAATTAAATTCAGATATGTTGGTCAGATAATCAATAATTAGAAAAATAGCGATTTAAATGTAGTGATTTAAAATACCGGGGAACCAAACGTCTTATTGATAAATAACATCATATTACTCCCGGGGGCCAAATGTCATATCTTAATAATTGACGGGGACGAAATGTCCATGGACTGGTTTTATTGACGGGGGCGAAACATCTGCGATTCGTCGTCTTGTCACAGTTATTCTGTAGTCTTGTTAATAATATGATATGATATAATATCATGATTCATGAGTTGTAGACTCGTAGTCACTCCGTCTTGTCTAAAATCTGGATGTCTATAATATATTATCATTTATCACAGATTAAATAACATTTTAATAAGTTTTATTAATTAATCTGTGATATTATATTAAATTAATTTACAACGTATGAGTTATGACTCGTGTTCCTTATTCTTGTTGACTTGTTATCGGTAGTAAGTTACGAGTTTGTAATATATTTTTATGTAATAGGTACCTAATTAATTCACAAATATTGTTATTCTCTTGGTAGTTATTACTTATTACTACCTACTTATTATGTTATTATCCATAGACAATCGTTTAAACTCGGAATGTTATAATGTTATGTAACATTTAAATCCAAATTACTTTCCTAAGTAAATGGTTAGAAATCTGTTTATACTGAATAGATACCTAATAATTATATATTATTTCAACTGTACCTAAATAAATAGTCTTTTTGCTTAAAAAGTTTATGTAAGTATTAATATTTTTATTGAATTGATTTCTTTTTCTTAATGTTTACCATTGAAACCCGCCAAACAAATTCTCTATTTATTTTTGTTGATTGCTGCTATACTCCACTGCGAATCAGATTCCACCCTTTTCAAATTGTGTTTAATATATTGTTCCTATCGTAGCTGTGTTTTCCTAAAGGTCGCTTTCTGCTACATTATTCCTTAATGGTGGTCGTTACTTGTTACTAAAGATCTTAGTTTCCTCCTCGCATGTCCTTCCCAATTCAGTCTTCTTTTTGCAATTTATTTTAAAATATTTAGTCTTTTGAAGAGTTTATTAAATTCTTCATTATTCCTTTTTCTCTGTACTCCAGTCTGAATGTTGACATAGCAGCCATTTATTCTTCTCAAAATGTGCCTTTCAGATACAGTTAATCCTAATTCCTCCACTTTTTTTAAGTGTATGTCTCTGAGCGACTTGTACATTTAAAACAATTTGACATTTCAACGTTGTATACATCTCTGTATTTTCATTTTTCAAGTTTTTTGTAATTTATCTAGAGCTTGGTATTTTTCAAAGTCTAAAGTAACACTTATTACTCTTTTGTATTGTTGTATTAATTTCCATTTTTAGATCATTGTCTTGTGTTAAAAAATAAAAGATGACCCTAATACATGAAATAGGTACATCACATTTTTAAATATACTACATAATATCCGTTATATTATGTTAAAATATTTTTTGACATAATATAGCCCACCGTTATATCTCTGCCTGGGTATTTCCCAATACTGCTAAGTCATCTTCGTAGGCTATAAGGTTTAGCTTTAAATTACCTAATGTTATTCCTCCATTTGTTTTCATTTCTCTAATAACATTTTCAAATACTACATTGAATGGCAATGGTGAGAGTAGTGTATCTCTTTGTCTCAGGCCTGTTGTTCTGCGCTCACCTTTATTCTCACATCTGTGTTTATGAGGCTAGCTATTGAATTAATATAGACTCCTAAAATCGGTGTTGTAACAAAAGGGGAGCTACAGCCCCCCCTTCCAAAAAAGGAAAATAAAAAATTATTTCTATGAAAGTTACTGCAAATACAAATTTGTATAGCCTTACCGGAACCACAACCTAAAATTAAATCTCTCAATATACTAAACTTATTTGAGATCCTAGTTATACCAACTATATTTCAACACATTATCAGCACCATTTAAAAAAAAATCTTGGTTACGCAGAAGAGAAATCAATCTAAATGAATAATAGTCCTAACAAATTTTAGAGTACCTATTCAACTTCAATTTCCCACTTCCCAGATATTAAAAATATTGTTATTTGTATATTATAGCTAGGCAATAATATTGCTATTATATTGTAACAGTGCTATTTAGAACAGAGACATGCATGATATTTTTCTAAATATTTGTTCACTTTAATAATTAAATACCTACCCGCAAATCCAACAATATCCAAATTTCACAAACTTATTTCTTTAAATGTTTTTATATTTTAATTGTATCTATTTTATTATTAATACTATTTTATAATTTAACCATAAGTTTAGGTATTTATTAATAGAATTTTTTTTTTCATGTCTAGTTACCTATAACTGAATATGTTGACAACAACAAAAACTAAATATGAACCCGAAAGGACTGAATTGACTAATGAGTCAGTTTTAATCAAGCCCAATTTGAAAGGTGATTGGTTAAACTTTTTTATGTTACTTTTACTTTATACAATGCAAGGCTTGCCTTTGGGCTTATCTTCAGCTATTCCGATACTTTTACAAAGCAAGAAAGATACATCGTACCAAGACCAAGTAAATTAAAAATAATATTCATATTATTTAATTGTGTACTTCACCATTAACAAGTTTTTTTTGGCTGCAGGCTTTATTTAGTTTAGTAATATGGCCATTTAGTTTGAAACTCTTATGGGCTCCGTTATTGGATTCACTATATGTACAAAAGATTGGAAAGCGAAAATCTTGGCTCATACCTGTTCAATATTTAATTGGTAGGTAATAAACAGTACCAGTGATTCTTTTATCATTAATCAATTATTATTTCCAAATGTATGGTTAGTATTTTTAAAAAAAATGTGTATTAAGTTATTGTTAAAAAACAACATTTTTTAAAAATATGCTTTGGGATATGAAATTAAAATTGTATGTTGTCATTCAAAAAAGTAAAAACTTAAAAATTTATATTTTAATGACTAAACACCATGAACATTTATACTCCTTTGAAATCATGAGTGCACATTGATAAAAGAATAACCCAGTATATTATTATTCATAATATTTATCATCACTTATTTAATTAACTACACTATTATTTATTAAGTGCAAAGGTTTTTGAAATATATTTTTTACTTTTATTATTTATGTTTAATAGGAATAATATTACTTTATATGGGTAACAGAATTGATATCTTGTTACCTGAAAAAGGAAAACCAAACGTTATGGTACTAGTATATCTCTTCTTCATTACAAACTTCTTATCTGCCACTCAGGATATAGCTGTTGATGGTTGGGCTTTGACAATGTTGAAAAAGTAAGTTTTATTATTTTGAATTTTGAATTAAAGAGGATAGTTAATTATAATTATATACAGGAATAATGTAGGCTATGCATCTACATGCAATACATCTGGTCAAATAATAGGCGTGATGATTGGTTCTGTATTTGCCATCTTATTTACATCTGAAGACTTTAGCAATAAATACTTACGAATTACAACTGGTGTAGAAGGGATTGTGTCTATGAAAAGTAAGCATTTACATACATCATTAGTGCAAAAACCATATTAGTAGTTACAATAATAGTGAATAGAGATATTTAAAACATTAAAAAATGTTGAGCTTTAGTTTTTCATTGTTTTTAAAAGGAATAAAAATAATTCAAATGTATGATTCTTACAGCTGTATCAATTTCATCTACAAAGAATGTAAGACTGCCATAATGTATAATTAAATAAAATGTGAAAAAGCACACTAAGTACAGAGACTAATTCTTGAAAACTTTTCTACGCTTTTTTCACCTTGGTAATTGGTGCACAATGATGTTGAACTATTAACATTATTTATATATTTAAATGCATTTAAAATTGTAAAAAATCAGAGGTCAGTTAAATCTACTACTAGTAGAAATAACCACTAAGTTATATGTAAATTTTTAAAGTGCTTTTTAGCACAAGTGTACCCAGATATGGTTGGCAGGTTAATCATAGATAATATAGATTATTTATATTTAAACTTAAGTTCTATTCCAACAAATAACAACTATTCTGGAAAAGAGCTGAGGACCTTATTTTTATTTTAACCATTTACTATCAAATACACAAATTACCTCTTAAAAAAATTATTTTAAATAGTATTTACATTTTTATTACATGTATAGTGTATGTCTTAAATATATAATACACAATATAAAAGTTCACAAAGATTGATTTTAATACAATATTTTGTTTTGGCTTATGGATTCTAAAATGTTCAATCTTTTTTAAAAAATTCCATAACATTATACTTACTATTTTGTTTACTTATAAGCACAAGTGTAAATACAGAGTTATCGAAGTAGACAATTGAATAACCTTGATTATCCTGTGTTTATAAACAATAGAATATTTTAGAATCAACCCTATATTTAAATTTTAAATCCATAAACCTTAACAACATTTTTATATTGTGTCATTGTAGCTTTTTCCATAAATCTATTTTAAGTAGTTGTTTTTTTTTACTAAATTTCGATGAAAAATTGTTTTTGAACATAAATATCTAATATTTAATTGTTAGGTAAGTCTATACTCTATATTATATCTATACTTATTGTGTACTTTTAAATTTGTATAGCCTTGTTGTATATTTGGGGTATTCTATTTATATTGATAACAACAATGATTGCTATATTCAAAAAAGAAAAAGATAATACACAAGAAGATGGCTATGTAAAGCTCAATATCTCTAAAACCTATTCACTATTATGGGATATTATGAAGCTTCCCAGTATACGGATATTGGCAATAGCTTTATTGACGGCAAGGGTAAATATAGTCAAAGCAAATTTAAAACTTTTTACCCACTTCTAGAAAGTATAAAAATATTATGCATTGTTTAAACATTTAGCTTATATATTAAATTAATTTTTACTAAGTATTATATTCCAACAATTATTATTAATATAATAATGATGTTATAGTCTTATGACAATGTCATAAATACACAATAACAATTGTATTTGATTGTAGAATATTATCAATTTTAATTAATAACATTTTATGATAAAGATTGGATTTGCTGCAACAGACAGTATATCAACTTTAAAACTTATTGATGCTGGTGTATCGAAAGATGACATCATGGTTATTAACACTGCAATGTATGTCGTAAAAATGATTATACCTTTAATTATAGCAAAGTACACTTCAGGACCAAAACCATTAAGCTTATATCTAAAAGTAACACCCATCAGGTAAATAAATAAATTTTGCCATAAATTATTTTCTATAGAATCAATTAATATAGTCCATATTGGACATAAATTATCATTTCAATATTTGTCACATTTTCATTACTTCTATAATTTAATCAATTTATTATAAATTAAAATTAATCAAATAAGTTAGAAATCAGAAAAAAATAACATTACTTCAATAAATTCAAAAAAAAAAGAGATACTTCCTATTAATTAATAATAGTAGCTAAATTAATGATTGCATTAATATTTTTTCATTTATAGATCATCAATCTACAATACATAAAAGTACATAATAAACAAATGTATTATTTCTTTATGTTCAGTAGGGAATTCATAAGAATAACATTCTGAACAATAAAACTAAAAAAATTTAAATTTTATTATTCTTAGATTAAATCCAATCCCTTGTCTGGAAAATGTTTAATGTGTTACTCTTTACAATTCAAACATTCTTATAAATTTATATTTCAGATTACTTTGGAACATTGTATTTATTGTATTAGTATACTATACACCAAAAATTATAAATATTAATGGCGTGGTAAATATTCCAAAATATTACTATGCAATCTTGATTTTTATATTATCAGTACAAGAAGTAAGTCGATTGCATTTAGAATTAATACTTAAAATAAACTTTACCCTATTTTAAGGGGAGGCATTGATTAACAATTATTACAAGACTTATAATTTAATACATTTATATATTACTAAAATAAATTACAAAAACTAACAAAATGCATCTATCCTTTTTGTAGGTCCTTTCATACATGATGTTTGTGGCTATATTAGCCTTTTTCTCTCGGATAAGTGATCCTCGTTTTGGTGGTACTTACATGACATTGTTAAATACACTTTCAAATTTAGGATTTGTATGGTCATCTACTGTAGCACTTCAATTGGTTGATTTGTTAACATCGAAAGAATGCTCATTCGACGCCATAAATAATTGTTCTACATTAGATCTTCAAAATGTAAGACTTGATCAATTAAATCTACTCTAGATTATTAATTAGGTATATTATAAAAGGAAAAATCAGACTGATGTGTTGAATCTTTCTTTTTTTTTTAATAATTTTAAGTTGAAGTTTTGATTATACTTAAGAATTGAATCATTTTTTTAATTTAATTTTAATCTTTTTAAATTTAATTTTTTTAGGTTTGTAAATCTAATGAAGGAAATTGCATTGTTACAATTAATGGCTATTACATTGAAATTATTCCATGCACAATTATTGGAATTGCTTGGTACATTTATTTTAGAAATATCTTAAAAAATCTTCAAATAAGAAGTCCTTCTCATTGGTTGGTAAATGTAAAGAAACCAGTAACAGAAAATATTGAAGAGTCATACCCTTTGGCTGTAACAGCGTAATGTTATTGTGTATTTAGTTATCCATTTAATCAAATAACCTAACTTCACTATTACATGTAATGACATATACCATCTGATTTTACCAGTTCCATTGATATTGGGAGTATTCATACAACTTGATATTTATTTGTATCATTTATTAATCATGATGTAGGTATATGAATATATAATAATAGTAAATTAGAACCAATTTACACTGTAAAGTATGTATGACTAATAATAAATTATGCTATCTTTGATAGTATTCTCTTTAATATTATATTAAACAATTAATAATCGATCATATAATATCTACCTACATCTTTAACTTATATTAAAAGATCATATTATTATTCAGTAAGAGTTTGTATTTTAAAAACACTAAAATCTAAAAAGAAGTCCTCGCCATTATGATTGAATCTATAAAAATGTTTCTTCGTTCTTAATTGATCATTGGAAAACCTCAAGTGTTGAACTATTTCAAAAATATTTTAATATCATATTAAATATTAAAATTAAGAGACTTTACATGTAATGAATCTAAAAAGTTGTAATATTTACTCACTTTGAGCTGATTTAAAAAATTTTTTTTTTTATTATTCATTAAATCCTATAGTGATAATTTTAAACTATTCTATGCATTAAAATTATAAATTTTTATTTTATATTATGTTATTAAACAAAATGAAACCCATTATTTATTACAATTAGTATATAACTTATTTATAATATTTATGCATTATTGCTCAAACTGATAAATAATTAATTTAGAATATACTCCATAGCTCATACCCGTATTATTTCTGATGAGAGTAAAATTAAAATTATTCAGCTAATATAAATATTATTAGTTTTAGTTTAATATACATTTATAATTTATCATTGAATAAAGGTGGTTATGGGCCTGATGGGTCTATAAAAGCTACTGGTCTTTAAAATTAAATGTATCATTCATATAATCAGCTAACAAGTGATTTCTTTGTTTCCTTGTATTGATCTCCAGTCTCAAGTACTGAAGTGTCAATCTTAATCATTAGACAGTGAAAATAAACATCTTAAAAAAAGTATTTTAATTTTTCCACTTCATAAAATGTTTATATAATCATAACACAAATTAGTAATTGAACTGCTTTAGTAAAGTGAATGATCCTATCTATCAGTATAATTCCTTTTTTGGAATATTTTTAAATTACTAAAGAACTATACAACTATACCTATTATAATTATGTTTAGTTTTTAAATGGTCAACACTACATTTTTTAATAAAATCCAACCATTGAGCTCGATGATTCTCATTCTTTGGAATTCTTAAATAATAAAAAAAATATATTAATATAGGTATATTAAATATAAAGTTTGTAAAAATATGAAATTATAACTTATTATTCTTATACTTACTGATGGAAACTTATTCCAAGATCTTTGTTTTTGGAATTACTCGATCGACCACACACAAAACAACTTGGCATTTTGAAAGTATTAATGTATTACAATTAAATTACAATTAAATTCACTATGAAACGTGTTTAACGTAAGACAAGTAAAAAAGAAATGACCAATCTAAATATTGTGAGAAGTGACATACATTCGTAGAGTATAATAATCAAAAGGAACGTCTGTGGAGCTGTTATGAAGGCAGTTTAAGCTAACTACCTGTTGGGTCTTTTCTATTCATACTATAACATATATTCATACTCTGTACCCATCCCTCATATTTGTTTTCATATAATGTGTGGTTTAACCATGAATTAAGATATATTAATGTATATCTTAATTCATGGGTTTAACCGCTCTTATCATTTCCGGAAAAGTGCTTATCACTCTGGCGATTTTGCCTTCAAAGATAAACCCACAGATATATAAACTTAGATCATATACACTGGATCACGATGTAGGTAAAATCTTTATATATTTTTATTTATCTACATCGTGCACTGGATAGAGCTATGGTTTAAAATCTTGAGCATAGCTGTTCGTGCCCGAAGTCATCGCTGCGCATGAGCAAAGTATAATATGATCTAAGCATTCAGTACCTAATCGTCCTTATCACTATAACACATTATTGTTCCTTACCCGTCCCACACGATCTATTTTATTTCTCACGCAAGCGCCATAAGTACTTTGGACGTGAACCGGTCTGCTTCAAAGTTCAAACACGGACTACGCGTGATATACGCTATAGCCACGGACTAAGATATTTTGAATTATAATTTATAATATCATATCATATATTAATTATCTTATGGTTCTTCAATATTTCTTAGTTCTCACAAGGAAGTAGTAAGATCTCTAGAAAAATATGGGTAATGGGTGAAATATTGTAAGACTATTTTGGCAATGAAAAATTTGTTGTGAATAATAAATTATTTATGTTACGTCTTGTAATGGCAGGCATTGGTAAAGTTAATTGGTGACACGGTAAACCACGATTTAAGCATCACATTAATTCACAATGTGTGCCATGTGCTTCGCAATTATTGTACACACATAATAAACACTGTAGTACAGTGGTTGAATTGGGGGGGGGACGCGGGGGGACTGAGTCCCACTTCTATTTTAAAAATATTTTAGCGTACCCCTTCTAATTTCTCTTAATGGGACGCTGGGGACGGGAATCATTTTAAAAATTGTACTAAATTAATGGAAATATTTTTTATTTTATTTTAATGTTGTTGTTTATCACTGTTATCACTTATCACCTATCAGTGCAAAAAGAATAACGATCATGATTTGTGGCTAAAATATAATATGATAAAGGTATAATGTTGATAACAGAT